TCAGAGATTTATAATAACTTTTATACAAGCTTACTTCACTGTACTGTCATCAATTCATTCTCTTCTCAACTGACTTTTAACTAACAGTCATCAGAGATCATAGAAGAAGATAATAAACTTGAATGAGAGATTGAAGATATTCTTAATAAGAGATCTCATAGCTGCAGCTGATAATATCTTGTGATATAAGTTAGCTAAGATCATCTGATCTGAACTCTGAGCTCTGTGTTATTCAAGACAGCAGTTCTTGACTGATGAGAACTATACACTCATAACTCTATATTACTTCTGAAAAGAGAGAGTTAATATAATAAACTATATCTGATTAATTATATAGACTATTTCATTACACTTCATAGATTCTGTTAAAAGCTTCAATTCTCAGTCATTCTCAATTGCTGATTCTCAGCTGAAAATCTTATAAAATTTCTACTCTTTTACTCTGAAGCTTCACTGTGTATATAAAAACTCATAGAATTTCTATTCTTCTGTCTTGAAGCTTCATTATATACATTATTATGTATATATATAAATATTCACTTTAATCACTAATTTTTATACTTTCTCTTTCTTTTTCTTCTTTAACATTTTTCACTTTGTATTATAAAATCTATATATTATACTGATCTATTCAGTGTAAGCCTCTTACACATATCAAGAAATGTATAAGATCAATGAAATTAAATATGAAATTCATAATCTCAGTAGTCAGTCTAGTAACTAGTTATAATAGACAGTTGCTGACTGACAGAGCTTGAAATATAAGAATAAGTACTTACAGATAATTATTCAGATATTTACAGCTTGATATAATATATACTGATAGCTACTAGAAGTATTCATAATAGAAAGATAAATATAGAAGTTAAATATATAATAGTATTTAAACTGAGTTATAAATAGTAGTTGTGAACTTCAGTCTATATAGTTGTATATAGTCAAGAGTCACTAACTCTATTAATTATATAAGAGATAGAAATAGAGGTAAATAATTCATAAGAAGCGGGATTTCTTACAACATTCTTCTGAACTATATATAAGAGATAGAAATAAAGGTAAAGAATTCATAAGACGCAGAATTTCTTACATTATATATATAATAATTAGTATATACTGTAGATAATATATACTATAATTTTCACTTCTTAATTTTAAATTTATTTTATTACTTTAAATAACTTTAAATCTTATTTAAGTATAATTAAAAATAGTTCAAAAAAACTTTAAAATCTCTAAAAATAGTAACTTTATACTAAGAATGAAATTAAATAAAATAAAATAAAATAACTTTTTTAACTTTTTTAAGTTATAGTCTTATTTTAAGATCTGATTAATAGTTACTTTACATATTTTTTTAATAATTAGTTTCAGTGAGATTCATATCAAAAAATATATGAAATCAGATAAAATAAAATTAAATATGAAATTCATAATTCTGTTAGTTAATTTAACTATAACTGATTTTCTCTTTTTCTTCTTTAATATTCTAACTTTAGTTGATTCTCTGACTATAAGCAGCTTTAAAACTCTTAACATTCTCAGTGAAAATATAAATTAAGATCAGTGAAATGATTTTCTGATTTATATAGAAATTAATAATAATATAAATAAGTAAATATATAACTTCTGATCACTTTTAAATTCTCTCTTTTAAATAATGTATAACAGTTAATAATATCTCTCAGCAAACTTCAAAAGATTCAATTCTGAGTTATAAAATTTCTGAAATAAATACTGATGTGAAAATGATGAGAAATAATAACAGTAAAAGAGAGATGATTTGAAAAATTCAGAAGAAATTACAGAGAGATATGACAGATTTTCAATAGAAAATGATATCAGTAAATGAGATGTTTTTTAGAAATAGTGATTATATAGATAGAAATTGGTGATATTGTCAATATAATGATGATTTTTTTCTGTTCATAACTTGTTTACAATGATTCCACAGCTTATTCATTATTATATTAAGATTTATGATTCAGCAACGGTGTCACTACGTTTTTCCGGTATGGAAGCTCCCTATAAAAAGCCATGTAGCAACTAGCTTCTCATAATAATAATTAACTACTATAAGAAAGTTCGTAAAGAATGTACAGAGCTATATATTAAGTCAAAAGGATTGAAACTTCCCGCCCACACACAGGACATAGAGATTGTCTCCACGCTTCCCGTTGGCGGAGGATATAGATACAACCCAACCCACATGCCCGAGTCCCTTTGTTAAACAGAAATGTCCTGCCGTTCCGTCTCCTCTAGACCTTCCTAGAAGACCCTCGTAAACCGCGATTTCCAAATCTATCCTTCTATACCCGCTTGCCGCGCGTCGGGGCCAACGCTTCGAAACATGCACAGCACAGAAGCCGTTGGCTGATAGGGGGTATAGCTAGGCCTGAACACGCACGTAAAGGTTAGATTGCATAAAGGACTAAAAAGTAAGATAGAGACGGGCATGTGAAAAGCTCCTTGAGCGGCATGGCTGTTCTGAGAAAAGGTTCATGATGGAAGAATCTCGGGTGTCCTGAAAAACAGGCCTCCAGGCTCGCGAAGGCCGGGGCTCAGCAAACTGTAGCGGTTGTTGTAGAAGGCCTGCTATGTAATGAGTGGGTTACAACAGTTGGTCTGGTCCTGTTGGAAAGGGTGGTTTGGAAACAAACCACCCTCCAAAGGGGGGATCTTCAGATTGAAGATGATGATGATGGCCTGAGAGTGATGAATCTGTCAGCAGCCAGCGTTCATCTCAAAAGGGAGGTTTTTTCTATTCTCGGTCAGTCCTCCTTGTGGCTCACCGCCCTTTCTGATGCCTTATTCTTTATTATCTTTTATTTGCGGTCCAGAAGCTATGAAGTTGTTTTTGCGTCGCAAATAATTGGATGCACGGTTCAAAGCCAAGGGTGCATCAGAGCGGAATAGTTACCAGTCAGTAGCCGCAAGTCCAGTTCATGCAGGAGACATTTGACGTCGAGGTAGGGCATATCATATCATGGTTCATGTGTAACGTTCCCGAAAGTGAGGAGAGTTCTCATAGAAGTGATACTCAGTAGTTCAGATTTTGGAAGAGGATCGATATGAAATAGTTCTTGGGCTGAATGGTAGTTAGCTATGCTTCTGGTAAAATAGGCGCGGGGTCCGTGAGGTGAGAATGAGGCGACACATGCACGCTAGGTATTACACATTATTCAAAAGAAATAAGCATCATCATAAACAGAGCTGCACGACATCCGTTTTGGATGACCTGATGTACTGTTCACATATCAAGATCAAGGTTGAAGGGACGAGATGAGATGGTAAAACCGAAAAGAAAGAAATATGGCACAAACCAAACATAAAGCCGACCCGACCTTTGAAATCGAAGGCCACCAAACATGCACTCTCAAAGATAGAGAAGGCCCTTTCGTAGAGCTGTTCCCGTATAGTCTAGAGAGGATGTATTCATTCAATAATGAACAGTGTTTTCAACATAAATATGGGAAAACAGAATTTGGCAAAGTTGCGACATGTTGACATGTAGGTCTAGGACAGGAAGTTTGATTGTCGTACTTGAGATTTCTCGTTATTCCGTGTAGATTGACTTCTGATCGTGTAAGTTAGTTAACGGCGGTGAATATGTTGTCCATATAAAATCCATATAAAATGCCAATATACGTAGTTGGAAGAGCGTGAGGCCATGGAACACAAGCGCAATTCCCATGTGCCGTTCAGCTTTCATTTTCTTTTCTTTTCTCTTTTCCTTTTTCTGTGCGCCAGGCTGTAAGGTATCTCTGTAAGGCGTCAATGCAAGTCCGCAATTCATGTCAATAATAGGGGAGATCTCATTGGTGACCCCGCCGGTCGGGCAACGTTGGACCGTTGTTTGCTACCCAATCCACCTTTTGCAGGAGATAAAGCGAAGTTGACACAAAAAGCCCTTGCAGAGAACGTCGTTAGTTGTGAGTGAGTGACACAGGCATTCGGACATTTATCACGTACCTACGAACCGAAACACGACTTCCATGCCGGCGGCACGGGATGGCGGGCGGGGTGGGAGTGTTGTTTGCTTGGTTGCTTGGAGATTGTCACCGTATTTATTTATGTGATTGGGATGGCTGAGCAGAAGAGAGGGATGGTGGCAGCCCGATGATTTCCCAGCTAAATATTTTTATTATAGACGTCGATATATTAATGATATGAATTTACCTCACTATTAAATAATATCTGGCGAATTGATAAATACTTGCAATTGAGCCCCAAGAACTTGCCATGTTCTGTAGGCTGTAGCGCGGCTATTTATTCAGCTTTTTTCCTTCACAATTTTCATCAATCTGTAGTTAAACTATTTATTTAACTAAATATTTCAGCGGGATAATCGAGATGTTAATCAATTAATTAAATATCATAAATATTTACAATATCAGGTCAGGCCGCAATCAACGCCCTAAAACTCGACTGGAGCTTTCACCAAACCCTGCATTCTGCATTAATATTGCATGCCTTTGCCCCATTGTTATTCACCGCACAATAATAATAATAATACAACAATAAATATTTAACTACAGGGGGCATCCGGGTGTGTGTGGCCATCACCAGCATCGAGCTTCTCAGACACCGCCTCGCCCGGGCGTCCAACCATTCAGCGCTACGGCAATTCCAGGGACTGACGGCGGCAGCTTGTCGTTTGCTAAATAATAATATGATGTTTTGTTGCAGCACAGGTCCTGCACGCCGCCTCGGACCCGCCCAGTCGTATTCTCTATCGTGGGCGAGGAGGCGATGCCTCAAACCCAGTTGATAGTTGATTGCTTGCCATAGTTACATATTCAACGTGGAAAAAAGGTTTTCCCAGGCACTGACTGCGTTCATTCGCTCAAATCGACAGCACCCAGACCAGTCACAAATGACAACTGCAGGAATCATGTACGCAGCGCAGCGTATCCTGCTGTTTCGCTGCTGTTTCGCTGGACTCTCCAACGCGACGCCCGGCTGGTGATTACCTGTCAAACACCCTAATGGTAAGCACAACGATGTCATCTCTGCTGCACGATAGAGGCGATTCGAAACAAGGCCATGATCAGGGGCCCTATCGTATCGATTCTACGCACTTGGCGATGCCATTCAGCAAGCCTGTTGCTCGCCTCCTTTCCGCAGCCGCTTTGGGAATGGAGTCTGGGGAAACGCCCGTTTATTCTACTGGAACGTGCGGAGACTATCATCTGTCTAGGGATGGTTGCCCCCTACTGGGTCCGGTCCTTGGTGATGCGCTGCATTGATTGCCCATCTCTCCGCCCGCCTCTTATGCAGCCTTTACGGTATTCTACTGGCCAGGGGAAGAAATAACAGGGTCGGATTCATCAACATTATTGAAGCCCAACGAGAGTCGGTATCAAATTTAGATTTTTTTTCTCTTTTTCTTTTTCTTTTTTTCTTGTTTTCCTCTTCTAAGCAATGCCCGACTGTCATGGTCAGGATCAGTATTTCTGGATCTATAAATCTTATATATGGCCATCCCCGGTACGGCTTCTGGAATATCAGATGTGATACAAGCAGCTTTGACACTAAATGCCCTTCATCCTTAAACCTGCCTCGATATAGCCATTATCCCTATTCCACGGTTGGTTCTCCATGCTGGATATTCCGAAATTCCCTTTCTGCTCGGACCTTACCACCATCTGGATATTTAAATCCTGTCGTGAATTTTCTTTTTGTGTTGCTGTTACCTTTGCGTGTGAGTTACGTGAGCCACCGGATTTCCCATGGACATTGTCTGATCTGAAGGCCCAGTTATAGGAAACAAACCAGCCCCTTGGATTTTACCATCGCCATTAATGGATGCACCCTGACAATTATTACATTTGATATATAATCTTTATTTCTTATATATCATCTACCTGATCTTGCTTTCTTTTCTTCATCTTTTCTGCAAAGATATATAACTATAATGTCCTCCACGGTTTCCCTAGGCCGACGCTGGCCTCCCTCACCCAGCGTTGAGGATGAATGCGAATCCCTATCCCGCGAACTCCTAGGCTTGTCTGTCTTAGACACAATGTTGAATAATGATACAATGATTCCGAAGGGAACTGTAGATCAGTATCCCCTTATACTCCCGTCCAACATCGTCACTCCATGCTCAACACCCCCGGACGCATGTGGAAGCCCCATCAATCCAAACGCCGGAAGCAAATCATCCAACGGAAATATTGGCCTTACAACTGCTCAGTCTCCTCCCAGCAATGGTTCTGCTTCAGATACACAGCAGGGGTCGAATGCCACTGCCCCGTCTTACTTCCTCCATGAAGCGTCCAACCCCAATGGGTTTTCTGGAATTCCGGAGGTTCCTGAGCCTCATGGATGGCCAGTCAGCCACCCGCAAGACTCACTCCAAGAAAAGCCCGGCCTAAGCAGACATTTCTCTGAGGGAGACGAAAAGCTTGGTCTCCACAACGCACCCGTCAGGCGAGCAGAATGTTGCAGTGATGATGAAACACGTCCATCCCACCGTGGCTCAGACGGCCCAGAAACGCCCCAAAACACCTCACCGGTTAAGAAAAAGAAGAAGGTGAACTTTCAGCTTCCCGACGATGGGAGACTGCCACAACATGACACCGAACCTGCCTTGAAGCATGAGTTTGAGCCTTCCCTTGGACATTCAGAAGACATCCATACTTCCCGCCGTTCAAGTCTATATTATGAAGATGAAACGCCAATGGATAACTACGATCCCACTTTCATTACTTATAGACAGGATTACACATATCTTGCCCATCCTCAGCCACTCAAAATCAACTGCAACTACGGTGGACCACGCAGCAGAGCTTCTGATTCCGGATCTCCTGTCACCTCACCACTAAAACTGACCTCAAGAAGCCCATCTCAATCTCCAAGACGACATACCCCTAGCCCTTCTGGTTCCCGCCTCAGCCCAATCGCTCGCGCTGCCTTGGATAAAACCAAGACAGCACTGCCAACCACGAATAATGACTCTCGAGCTTCCACGAACTCCTCCCCGGTCCGACGAAGAGGGCCTTTCTTATCCCCGCCTTTGTTGCCTTCAGGTTACGAGGTGATTATTAGAAGGGGTGGCGACAAGCAGTCAAAACGCAACAGCGTTCCAGCCATGACTCCATCGCATCTTCTGTCCAGATCACGAAGCTCAACAGTTCCCTCGCAGGTCGTAGTAGTGCGCCGTCATCAAGGCCCCGCGGCCGCTCCCCCTGTCGTTGCCCTTGCCCCTTGCCCTCGATCCATTCCCATGGCTGGCCATCAGGACTGGTACACCATCAAGGGCATGACACACTTGGACATCTGCCCTTGTTGCATGAGCCAGATTGGCGCCTCCCGGTTCCGGCATCTTTTCATCCCCAGCCTTCCCAGAGACCGCAATGCGAAAGTCCGCTGCTCCCTTAGCCAACCATGGGCACGGCTCGCCTGGGTCCAAACAATGAAGCTGAAACTCAACCACCTCGAGCTGCTCCAGCGCATTACCCTTCCCCCACCGGGAAGCCGTCCATGCAGCGGCCGTAACCCCTCAGTGCAGTCTTGGTACCGCCTTGCGGACCCCGAAACAGGCCGCAACATCACCGACTTCAGCGCGTGCTCCGCCTGCTTCCGTAACCTGCAAATCCTCATGCCCTCACTCCGCGACGCATTCCGCTCCGGCCCACTCGTCCAAGAGCGCATTTGCGACCTCCGCATCGACAGCCCCCGCTTCGTCCGCTACCTCGATCTGCTAGACGAAGCCGCAACGCGCAGCTACTCCGCTCCGCGCGGCCAACTGGACATGCGCGAATTTGTCAGGTACGCTCGACGCAAGAGCAGCATCCGCGACTGTCCCCGCGACCACTTTTCTGCAGGGCCATGGCATTATATCCCCAACCTGCCCGAGTTTACCATCTGCGAGGACTGCTATGATGACGTTGTCTACGATCGATCCCACACGGGCATTGGCAAGATGGTTTCACGAACGCCGCAGATGGTCCCTGGACCCCGGGATCAGCAATATACATGTCAGCTGTACAGCCCGCGTATGAGGACCGTGTTCCGCGAGGCCGTACAGGATGGGGACTTCAAATACTTAGCCACAGCTGCGCTGCGCAGGCATGAGGCGGAGATCACGTTCCGAGAACGGAAGAAGGCGCTACTACATGATGTGGCTAGGGGTTACGATAGGGACGCAGAGTTGAGGTGGAATGCAGAAGATTGGAGGAGGAGTGAATAACTTTTCTTTTCTCCTTCGATATCTGGATTTCTCTATTGCTTTTTCGTTTCTGTTCCTTTTCCTTATGACGTCTTTGGTTTTGGATGGATAGCTTCCACTGTTTCCTTCGTTTCCCCATATGCACCTCTGTTTCATACATCACGCGCGCTCTACCGCTCTATTCTTCATTTATCATCTAGCATTTTCAAGTTTTGTCATTTCATACCTCTTCTACATTTCCTGATGCCCGGGCTTTTTTCCTTTTTTCCTTTTTTCCTTTTTCTTTTTTCCCCCATCAACACCTGTATCATCCTTGCCTCAGTCATTCCCGCATTTCCTTACCCTGTACATTGTGAACTACTCCCGTTCATTCATCGCACTTTTCCCCCGCTGTACATCTACATCAACCATTCGTTCGATGCCTCCCTTTTTTATTTTTTTTATTTTTTTTGTGCGTTTTCCCCATATTGATATTGACACCAAAGTAACCACGGCATCCATTATCAATTTGTATTCGTCCCAGCAATATGTTATCCTCATCGATTCTTGGCCTTTCATCAGTCCCCCTACTACCTCTCTATCTATCTGTCTAGGACCTTCTGAGCCGGTTGACCAAGAATTCTGTATATTATAGTACAACAGGAGAAGAAGAAGAAGAAGAAGAAGAAGAAGAAGAAATGTATAAATTACTGCAATGTTCAATTACTGTGCCTGAAATTGTTTATGTAGAATTCTTGCGCTCCATGGGATTCAGTCCTGAGATAGCATCGGTCTTAGTCGTTATTCAAATATGTGACGCATATGTAGCAGAGGACATAGTAGGTTGCTGCTGAATCAATAGCACCACTCATAAGTAAAAGACATGATATCCGTAGGATGACACGATCTATTGACTTAGAAAGAAAGGAAGAAAATAATAGTTAAATAATGGAAAAGAAGGAAACATAGTTTGTCTTCTCCCGCCTCCACCCCACCCAAATATACGGACTACGGAGTATCTGCTTGAAAGTTCATTAGTACTTAAATACTTGCATGCTATTATCTACTGTCTAGCAACGGTAGAGGGAGTAACCAGGGAGGTAGGAAGAGCTAGCTCCACTGTCATTTATTCATTATGTATCTATGGCTAAAATCTCCACTCCACTTCCTTAACCCACGCTTCACCCAAACCCCCCTCCCCAAATCACCCAACCAACCCCACCAACTCCCCCGGCCACCTCTTCCCCCATATCATAGCTCGACTAGGCACCCTCCCCCCAACGGGCGCCAGCACTCTAATCTTCGCCTTCTTCTCATCTACGCCGGCCACATAAACAAAGCCCATGACGCTCGCGTCGCGGATCTCATGGAGCGGGGCGTTGGGGGCTGCGTGTGTTACTGCTAGCAAGGTGTTTTCTAGCGCTAGTGGGACGGGGGAGGTTGTGGAGGGGGGCAGCTTTTTTAGAGGGATGGAGGACGGGTGAGTGAATGGTGATGTCGCTGTCGTTGATGTGGTGGTGGTGGTGGTGGCGGTGGTGGCGGTGGTGGGGGAGGAGAGGAAGGGGGAGGTGGTTGTTGTGTGGTCTGTGATTTCCTGGTACTGGTGTTGTTGTTGTTGCTGCTGTTGCTGTTGCTGTGTTTGTAGATTCTCATCGTCGTCACGGTCGTTGATGCCGCCGGGTAGGAAGGAGTCATTCATACCGAAGGTGGAAGGGTCGTAGTCGTCATCGTCCTCGAGCGTGGCGGTGATGGTGTATATGGAGAGAGCGTCGAAGTCGAGCTGTTGCGCGTGCGGGGAGAGGGTGATTGTTGTTCCTGAGGAGGTCGCAGAGAGGGAGAGGGCGGAAGAGGCGGTGGAAGGGATGGGGTTGCCGAAGAAGTAAGAGCGGATTTGCGAGTCGCGGACGCACTTCATGAAGGAGGCATCGCGGTCAACGCTGCCGCCGGATTTTGTCACTTTGACGACGGATATACGATCGAGGGTGGACGGGGTGGCTGTTCCCGCAGCGGCGGAGGTGGTGGATGTGGATGTTGAGATGGGTTTGTTGTCGTAATGTTTTACCATGGAGCTGTAGAGGCGTTCAGAGCCTAGTACGAGGATTGTTGTGACTATTTGCAATCTGTTAGTATATATATATATATATATATATATTCCCCACACGTTGAAAAATAGGCCGGGACTTCTCGTACTCGAAAACTCAGTAACGATATGGTGAATAACATCCTCCCCCTTCCCCCCCTGGCTAAGAACCCCAGGCGTATCAATAACAATCCCCGCCTCCCCCGCATCCCTATCCTCCGCCAACCGCCCGGCAACCGCCAACGCCAACCTCGACACAATGGGCTTATACACCTGCCCCTCCGCATCCAACGGACTCGGCAACCCATAAAAATACACCAGCGGCAGTTTCACCGGTATAGGACTGGGGCCAGACATGGGGCTACTCCCCCACCCTTCCTCCACATCCACCATAGATCGAAACGCCGTCGCCGTCAAGCTACCGGGGACACTCAGCATGCCCTCCGACGGGTCCAGGTTGACCACAACAGGCTGCCGCTCCCGCTTCGTCGCGTAGCCCGTCAGTATCTTCGTGAGGCTCGTCTTGCCCGCATCCTCCGGTCCCAGGATGAGCACGCGCGGCCCTTCGCGGCCGCTAGCCTTCGCCTCTTCGCGCATCGTCTCCAGCGCGCCGTGGATGTTGACATACTCGGCCATGGGCGTCTCCTCCGCCACGTATTCGACCTGGCAGCCCCCGCTACCGGTGCCGGGCGGCGGGGGTGCGCTGCCCAATCCGCCAATGGCGATGGGGTCGCCCGCGCTCACTTCCAGCGTGCAGCCGTGCCATGTGTAGATTGCGGCTTTTGTTCCGGAGAAGGTATATGTTTGGGAGGCTGCCAGTTCGGTGCCGAAGAGTTCTGCGGTGCCTGCTAGGAGCTAAATGTAGTTTTTTTTTGGGGGGGGGTGGGGCGTTCTTGTCAGGGTTTTTGAAGATATGAAAATAAAATAATTAGGATGCTCTGTGGAATTAAGTTACGTACTTTTACCCTCACTGTTCGCCCAAATGCGACTTCAAATCTCCACTCCGATCCCCTCGGTAGACTATGCTGGACTGGTGGAGCAGGGGCGCTGCGACCTCCGGTGGGAGTTTGCGTGAGCTCCAGGCCGGGGAGGGACATTGTTATACGGTATGGCTATGCGGTTAGAGACAATATAGTGTGGGCATACTTTTAAAGGGATTGATTGCTTCGTGTAACGGGAAAAAAAAAACCCCCAAAGCTCTCGAAACTACATATTTATTCTGAGATATCTGCCGGTGTTTGTCATGTTTGCCCTGTTTGGTTCGTCCAACAGCTGGATAACCTATCTTATCAATCTAATCTGGTCCGCGCGCTCTGCATACATACCAAAGTACACCTGTTACAACCTCTAACCAGCCCAATACTTACGAAAAAGCGAAACGCAGGAGCAAAAGTGAGCAACTGAGAATTGCTGACAGCAGCACACACCTATGAGCTAACCAACAATTTACAAGAAGACCGTAACCCCTTTCCCGCCCATATACTCCGTACGATCCAACCAGCCAAAGATGAACCCGGCAAAAGTCTAAGAAGCTTATAGATTTACTTCCGTACACACAGCACAATAATATTCAAAGCTTAGATCCTGCGCATATGGGGGGATGGGATAGCCATGCCATTGCCATTGCCATTGCCATTGCCATGCCTAATCATGCGCATTCAATCAATCCAATCAATTCTCAGTTCAGGACAGATAAAAATGAAGGCGAGCAAAGGCCCCGTCCACCATCCATGATGTAAACAGAAAAGAGAGAGAAGGGTTATTCTCAAAGAAGTTCAGTATCCCAATTTCTTCCACTCAGGACGCAAAAAGCCTGGTAGTCGAAGTGATTGTGCAGGACGCAAAATCGGGTCCAAAGTATGATACGGGGTAAAAACAGGGGGGGGGGAAGCCACGAGGTTCCAAACAGACTCACAAAAACCAATTTTTTACACCATCTTTTTTTTATAGAAAGGAAAGGAGTGGGTTGTATATATCTGGGGAAAATTATCAAGTGGAATTTTGGCATGAGCAGAATGGGACAAAAGTTGAACTTCAAGTTGGGATGTAATAATGACGTGGTAATGAATGTGTGGCAGTTTTTAGTGTTCAGTGATGGAAGACAACAAAAATTTGATAGCGCCTAGAGAAAGCCAAACAAAGCCAGATTGGACGGGATGATGCCGCAAAAGTAGAAGAAGAGAAATATATGTTGTAAAATAAAATAGTACCTAAAAAGAGAAGAATCGAAAGATATAAAAAGAAGAATAAACCTGAATTTGAAAAGGATAAAAGGATTTCAATAATAGACCTTATCCTTTAAAAAAAACAAACGAAATGATTGGGATTTAAAAAAAAAGAAGCAAAAGAATTTCTTGGGTTAATTGGTAAACAGTAGCCAAATTTAATAATTTTATAATAGGAACGGGGCGGAATGGTGTAACAGAGAAATTTGGGGAGGTGTGGATGAAGGAGATGGTAAGCGCAACGGGGAGGGGGTGGGAGCGGTGGTGTGGAAGCGGGTGTGGGTGTGGTTGTGGGGATTGATAATACCAAGAGATAAGAAAAGGAGCAAAGGCTACGCTATTTTCTCAGTAATATAACAAGGGGATTGGGAATGGGAATGGGGATATTAGGTTTCAAAAAAAGACGAAAGAATGAAATGTGGCCTGCCGCCTTGGTAGGAGAGCCGGCTGTGGCGTGCTGTGGCGGGTGGGGGAGAGCGAACGGTCGGATGTATATATGTATGCAGTGTGAACGTAAGAAGTGGTATATCTTACCCACTTCTCTTTTCCTTCTCCTTGCTTCAACAGGGAGACAGTGGAAAGTAAAGTCTGAAAACTTGAGAAAGAAAAGAAAGGGGAATAAAAACATAGGAAACCAAAACAAGTAACGTAAAAAGAAAACATAACAAAGGAAAAGTTATTTACAATATATTAGAAGAAGTATGGTATTGCCGCACTGTCAAGAAAACATCACACTCTGGGTTAGAAAAGAAGTGTTCATTGTTTTTGGCTTTATTGGTAGCGTGTTAGAGTGAAGAGAGTGTAAAAGGTGGGAGAACTTACGCGAGTGCCAATGTAGCTGTAACCCCAACAAGTGCGCGATTCCGCACTCTCTCCCGCCGTAGTTTATCTTCTAGTAGTCTGGCCCGCTTAGCTGGCTGAGCAGGTGTAGCATCCTGTTCCGAAGCCGCAGCAGCATCACTCGAGTCTTCTGCACCCTCCTCTTCTGCAGAGGAAGCTTCTTCCTCGGCCTTCCGCTTCCGAATAGCCATACCCCGTTTCTTCGAAGGTGACGACGGTGACGATGAGGGCTCAGCTTTTTGCTCCTCCTCTTCCTCCCCATTCTTATTGTTCTCAAGGTTCGCAGCGTCAGCCACCATCTTCTTCGCCTCAGCGAGCATCCGTTCCGAATCTTCCGCCGGATTTACCTCTGGGAGGATACGGGGCGCAAGATCCACACGTCGAGTTTCCACGCGGTCTTCTTTACCTCCGACTGCATATTCAACTGTAGCTTCCATCGCTTTGACGGATTTGTTAACAATATGATGGGCACGATCTTTGGATTTCTTGACTGGTATCTCGTATTTTGACTCTTGGTCTTCTTCCTCCTCCCCGTGGACTCTGGAAGTGGGTTCTTCAGCGCCGTTTGTCTGCTGTAATTTATCCTCGGAGGCTGACGATGTCGTTGACACCGTCGACGCGGCGGCATCCAAGGTGCTTTGGAGGGAGGCATTGGCAGCGGTTGAGCTTGCGGCGCTGGCAGCCTCCTTTTGCGCACGGGTTTGTCGAAGTTTGCGACCAGCAGTACTCTTCTTTGGCGAAGCCATTTTCGAGGGAGACACGGATCTGCGGGTTCTGCGGGCGATGGGCTGGGGTGGCGCAAATGCAGAGGAATCAATTGGTGGCAGCTCGAATTTTGGTGGAGGGGAGATGTGTTTCTCCGGGCTCGTTCCGTTCTGTACGATTTCCGTTGGATCCAGAAGAGCTCGAACCCAGTCAAACATGCCGTAGTCCTTTGCGATTTCGAGTGCTAGATTGCAGGGATATGGTCAGCTGACACTAGAACCTTGGAAAACTTGTTGAACGGAGGGGGTTGGAATGTCTCCATGGTGCATACCTAGATCAGGAGAGATCCACACATTCCCAGCGACCTCATCTTCACTGGTCTCTGTTCTACTCTTCAAGTACTCCCGTTCAGTTTTCTCATCAGAGTGCTTCGCCCAGGGGAATGCAATTTTGAACATGCCCGTGGCGCTAACATAACCATCCTTGCTTCGTCGCTATCACCAAAAAGAAGAAAAATCGCCAAAGAGTTAGTGGTCTGTTTTTCCATTATTTGCGAATTGCGCGCGCGCATGCAAGAGAAAATCCGGGGGGATCGACATGAATAAATACGAGGATTAAGAAAGCAAGAATGGCCAGGCTCACCATCAGAAAATAAGCCTCTGGATTTTGCTGTGGCGCTTGGGAAGAGAAGATTTCCGAGCCCTTTAGATCCTTGGGCAACGGCGCTCTCAAGTGTGCATACTCGAACATTCCCAGGTTCTCGGGCTTGGTCGCGCTAGATGTACCTATCTGGCCGGGTTTGACTGATAGATTTGTCTTACCCAGTCGACGGCGCGATAGAAGATCTTCATCTAATATCGCGAAAACAAAGCAAGAGAGCGCAAAAGGCACATTAGCGAAGAGCGTTGGAGTGGTAGGGATCAGGGGCTGGGTGGGGGAAGCGGATGGGATAATTAAGGTCGCGTTTGCGCCAATGGAACAAGGAAGTAGGTTTCGACAAGACAAGGTGCAAATTGAATGAGGATTTGGGAGGGCATTGGGCATGGTTACAGATAAATGTCGAGGACTTACATGGTGGTGAAACTTCTGGCAGGATGAGAGGGTTGATTCTCTTTGGAAGGGAGCGCATGGTGACTGGCGGCCGGGCAGTGTGGAGGAGAGAAGAAGATTATAGATTAATAGAATGTTGCTTTTAAGTCAAGAGGCGCGAGAAGAGATGGGATGCAAGACAAGGGGCGATGGTTGTTGAGATAGAGACGAGAGAGGAGTTGGCGTGGCGGTGTTGGCGGAGTTGGGTCGGTGATGCGCCAGGCCGAGAGACGACGGGTGCCACGTTGCAGCGCGTTCTGTCTCTCTGTCTGTCTGTCTCTCGCTTTCCTCGATTAATCAGGTCAAGATCAGACCAACACAACCCAACGAGGCGACGGGGGGGGGGGTTGGGCGCGGTTGTCTGGCTGCTGGCGACGATAATCACAACGCAATTGACAGCGGGAATACGGAGTACGCGGGATTGAATGGAATAACGGCCTTGGTCAGGAACCCAAGAAAAAAAAAAAAAAAAGAAAAAAAAGAAAACGAACAAGAAAAAGGGATGGCTGGGGGGGTTTAGACTAAGAAGAGGTTGCAGCACCGGGAGCAGTTGGGGAGAGGACCCCGTGACCTGACCTGGAGCTTGCTTATGTAACTTAACTAGCTAGCGCCTCCAAACCTGGAGAGACATCATCGATCGTTGTCTGTTGTACAGACCATGCTATATTCTCTCCCGCTGATGAGTGCGGTGGTGCTTTAATTTTTCTAGTGATTCTAAATATCCCATGGAATTCTTCAGTTCCTTTGGAGCAATATAATAATAAATTGGTCGGGATTGTAGGCAGTCCACCCACCCCATGAAATCATAGAGCTCTATCCTCGTTGTTTATCATTTCCTCTCAACAAGATAATTAACTTATATTTTAGGTAACTCTAAAAAGCCAAATCCGTTCCTGTCCCCTTGAACTCCTCCTCCACTTAAGCAGGCTAACCCTAACCCAGGACGCTGGCTTCGGCCCAGCCCGTCCAGTCCTGGGCGAAAATACAGCTTGCAACGCCAGGGGGGGGGAAATATACCGATTCGGAACAACACTCATTTTATAGAATGAGAAAGGTAAGGACCAAAGCATTTGTACTGGTTTCGGAAGATGTTACTGCCCTAAATAAACAGCACAACCTTCACAAGCTTCGGAATATCAGTATCCTTCAGGTAACCGACCCTTCATCGCAAATATAGAAAGAATACTTTATTTCCAGAACCCTAAAACGCATTGAGAATCAACATTAAATCTAGCTGCCTCGTTGTCAAGGAGAGAAGCCAGGCGGGGAAAACAGCCAGATCCTCTTATACTCATACAATATCTCCCCTCCCTCCCCTCCCCCCCTCCCCCCCAACAGCAGTGCAGAAAAAGAGCCAAGTCGATTTCCCCGGACCCGTTATCTAGCAATCAAAAATTCCAAACGGGCCCGGTTGATCGCTTCTCCCTCTTTGCTCCACGTCACCATTTGATGTGCATGAATGCATCCATGCATGCGGGCGGGCAGGCGGCTATCCCTGACGCTATGATCTCAGCTCCATATTACTCTGTACTTACGATTATGGAACATCACGGCGGGGGCGGGGGGAAGGGAGGGCTGGCGGGGACGAGGGACTCGGAGGGAGCACGGAGATCATGTGTGCAGAATGATTTGCGGGGTTTTTTTTTTTTTTTTCCTTGTCAAGTCAGAACTCCGTGGCAGTGGTATGTATGTACATGTACATGTAATTTGGAACATGTTATGAATCCGATGAACGAACTATTTAGCTATTTGGCTATTTGGCTGGGTGGCAGGATGGCAGACAGGCCATAAGAGGCTGGTCTGGACCATGCAGCATCTGTTTCAGAAATGGATGTCTATCAAGTAGTTACACCAAAAATAATGTTATTTCTAGGGTGAGGAACCCCGCCCGATTGAGCAGCATAAAAATACTTCATCTACTATGAGGGGATGTGAGCGGACCAGAATCTTCAATGAGAGCTACTTACTTACTATCTGTGGGTGACAGCTGAAAAGATCAGTTCAGTTCGCTCCCAGCGTAACTAGTTAGTTAACTTACCCCCACCAAAACAAACGTCCAACTGTTAGCCTCATCCATCCGCCGCCAGCTCTGTCTCGTCTCTCTCCTCTCTCTTCTTCTCTTCTCTTTCTCCATTTCCTCTTCCTCTTCTCTCTTCCTCTCTTTCTTTCCCTGTCTCTTCTCTTCTCCAGTTCTCCTCATACTTCTGGCTCAAGATACCAATATCTCAAAGTTCCTCCACACCAGAGACGCAATCCATACGCACAGACACTCATCAACCCCGCTCACCAAAACTCCCCCCCGCACCTCGAAAATAAACACAAGCAGTCGAACGAAAATGTCCAACGAACACGATGAGGATTTGGCAGCAAGCAAAACTGCCGGCTTCAAGGTTGGTGAGAAGAAGACTCTCGAGGAGTACCAGCAGCTAGGTATGTAATGTATCTGATATGCTTGTTCATTAATTTATATACACCTCGGTCCATTTGTTTTGCAAGCATTTGCTATCATTATCATGCAAAAGTTTGTGGATATGTTGTTTTGTTTTGGATGGAGGTAGAGGAAAAGTAATTGATATAAACGGGGCATGTTTTGTTATGCACCTGCTGTCTTTTCAACTTGCTCTCGTCCTTCTTGCAGCGAAAATGATGTTCAGCCTTTTTTTCCTTCTATCCCACCGCGCTTTCTGTGAGATTTATTTATATGCAAGCATACTATATTACATGTCCCAGCTTGAACATGGCAGAGTTGGGAAACATAAATACATTTCCCCCCAGCCGCAGCCCACAGAATAAGACGGAAAAAGAAAAAAAAGCAAAAGCAAAAGGGATTCCAATATCGCTAACAACACACCTCCCACTCCCTTGCTTGGATGAATCCACAAACCAGACGCAAACGACGAATCCCTCAACCGCTGGAAAGCGTCTCTAGGCCTGGGTACAGGTACCTCGATATCCGACCCCAACGACCCCCGCAAATGCATCATCAAATCCCTCGCGCTCGAAGTCGAGGGCCGCGACGACATCACCATCGATCTCTCCGCCGAGGGCTCCGTTGATAAGCTCAAGGACAAACCCTTCACCATAAAAGAAGGTTGCCGCTTCCGGATGAAAGCCACGTTCGTCGTGCAGCATGAGGTGCTTAGCGGGTTGAAGTATATTCAGGTTGTGAAGCGGAGGGGGGTACGGATTAGTAAGGATGAGGAGATGCTGGTGAGTTTTTCTTCTTCCTTATATATATATCTCTCTATCCCCCTTGTTCCTTTATCGGATACCGTTGATGCCGGAATGGCTGCTGATATATCTCTTCTTCTTTCCTTGTGTCTGGTGTACCAGGGGAGCTACCCACCAAACACCACCGATAAACCGCTGTATGAAAAGAAATGTAAGTTTCTTCTTTATGATTCGTGGCCCCTAAGCCAGTTCCTTTATTTTCCCAGAACTGGCCTTGTGAGTCAAGTTGTGCACCATACCCCACCCCCTCTCGAGTAAACGAACCGTCTGTCTGTCTGACACCCCTTGTTTCGTTCGTTTTTCGCAGTCCATCCCGAAGAGGCTCCGAGCAACTTTGTTGCTCGAGGACATTATACCGCACTCTCGAGATTCGTAGACGACGATGACACCACCCATCTCAAGTTCGAGTGGTCTTTCAACATCGCCAAGGATTGGTAGATAGATTGACAAGAATCCCCCCGAACAAAACAAAATTCGAATCTGCATTTTTTTTCTCCGTTCCCAATTTGCTCTTCCTTGTGTTGTTCCTTTTTCCTTCTTCTCTTTTTGCTCTAATGCTCAGAACGAATTTCCTTTTTATACTATTTTGGTTTTGGTTTTTTTCTTTTTTTGTTCCCCGTTTCTGCTCTGGTGGTTCCCAGGGCAGGACGTAAGTTAATATAAACATAAATCCGTGCCCGTTCTGCATGAATGCCATATTAGAGGTGGTGATAACTTTCTCCTCTCTTGCTTTCCTGCCTGTGACTCCCTCTTTTCGCAGCCCATCCATCTCTTTCTATATCAGTTACAAAACCAAAACGCCCAACTTATGCTTAAAAAATAGCTCGGAAGATTTATTTTATAAGAGAAGTGGAGGGATAAGAAGAACGAAAGGGGAAAAAAAAATCAATGAAATAAAACATGACGAAAAAAAAAAGGAAAATACACCCAAAGGGTATCATAGAAAATATTCAATTACAGGATTATGTCCATCCTTACCCTGCTGCTGCGCCTGCTGCTCCCCACGTACATCGTTATTCTCAGGCGCTGCATCGAAGATATTAAAATACCGCTCCCCAGTATCGCTGACCTCAAGCACACTCGCCAGGTTCCCACATCGGTAGCAATAATTCGGCGCGCTCCACACAGTGCTTAACCGATCATCGTAGAGAACCTGATACCCTTCCTGACACAGCTGATGTGCACGGAGGATGTGATTCATATTATTCACCTCGAGGAACTTCTTCACCACCTGCGCGCCAAAGGTATATCCCGCACCCCGAGGCGAGAGGGAAAACTCATCCCGCTCCGTATCGGGATCGGACCAGACCAGATCCGCCATGGGGCCCTCGTGCGGAATCTCGCGGAACCGGTCGATGATTTTGATCTGGTCGATCGAGTGGATGGACGGGGACAGGCCGCCGTGCACGCAGAAGATCTGATCGTTGATGACGACGCTGAGGGTGAGGAAGTCGAACATGTCTGTGAAGTAGTGCCAGACGTTTGCGTTGCCGTATTTCCGGGCGCATTCGGTGTAGAAGCCGTAGGACTGGGTGACGCCGCGGGACTCGTGGTTGCCGCGGATTAGGTGGACACGGGCTGGGTAGCGGAGTTTGAGGCAGACGAGGAGGGAGATTGTTTCGACGCTGAAGAGGCCGCGGTCGACGTAGTCGCCTGCAACGGCGATGACAAGGCGTTAGAACTTCACAGGGATAGAAGAAATAGATTATCCACGCAGCGAGCTCAGGAGCAGAAGAAGAGGTCCCATACCGAGAAATAGGTAATTTGTATTCGGACAGAAGCCGCCGATTTTGAAGATCTCAATCATATCGTAGAATTGGCCGTGGATGTCTCCGACGACGGTAACGGGGGCTGCGATGTGAACGACATTGCTCTCCTTCATGAGCAGTTCTTTCGCCTTGGCGCATATTGCCTCGATGACGGAATCTGCTAATAATTCCTTCCGGTATAGTCGTTCAATGCACTCATCCAGATCGATGCTGGCTAAATTGTTTAGACGAAAGAGGATTCATTCATTAGTTTCCGTCTTTATTCTTTTTTCGCTTTGTTCTCAATACATGCGCGAATTTCTTAGACTTCTAACCACTTGAGATTTGGAACCTACATGGTAGACCTGGCATTGCTGCTATCCGAGAGCGGAACCGAAAAAAAAAAAAAAAAGAAAAAAGAAAAAAGAAAAAAGAAAAGAAGAGAACACCAAACAGAAGTTATCGGATCTCGGGTATCTTTGTATATATCGAAAGAAACGAGTGACAGTGGGGTATCTGAAAAGAAAAGAAAGCAGACAAAGGTTCAGGAGAGGAGGAGGGAGGTCAGATAGCCGGGCGATTCAGCTTTCATGATGGTCCAGGAAACGGCGGAGCGCAGCATCTGCGAGGCAAGAAGACAACGCGCAGGGGATCGAAGGTTGTTCGATATGCACTATGCCATATGGACGGCAAATGCAGCTGGGTGTCTGGCTAAGAATAATCCGCAACCCGTTGCGCTGTTGTCAAACTCCGTCTTGACTTGTTTATCGTAACTCGAGCGTCCGCCGGTGGCGGTGCAAGTCAGTTGGATGATGACTAAGCTCTGTGATTATATAAGCTCGTTGTTTTCCGTTTCCATTTACAACGGTATTTCTGGAGACCAGCGGGGACTTTGAATGGTAGATTCCCATGGATGCCTCGCCGAATGCTTTTGCGAATAACTGTTTAAAAAAATTCGGTGAATAGGTATATACATCGGCGGCATCACCCACGAAATCTCAGCATACCACGGCATATATTATTTAGTTCGGTATCGCCCGCAAGGATGATTATTCTTAGAAAACTCCTCCGAACCCCGATAAACATAGCGCTGCCAAGCTGCCAAGCTTCCGCCATTCCAATCCGGGCAATTCTTGGCAGCCGCAGCCCGAGTAGTCACGTGACATATTTACCATCTCCATCTTCCAACTGTCTTTCTGTGCAACGACGACGTCGGTTCTTTCAACGTCTCATCAACCTCATCGCCTTGCTGAGACCGGGGCACTGGCCTATCTTTATCTTCTATGTATTTATATATTGACTTCCTTTAGGTTTTTGGTTAATCCCTTAACTTCCGGAACGCCGGACCCAAGGAGTTCGTCACTGGCAGACCTCCCCTTTTGCCCAATTTCCTTGTCTCGCACCTGTTCTCTAGGAATTGGGAATCGCCAGTCGTATTTTTATTTTATTTTTGGATATTGCCCGTTTGTTCTTATCATTGTTAATTTTTCCAGACATTTTCTGGACAGTTTTGTTTTGCTTCGGCGCTTTCGGTGATCTTGTGGCCACATTGTTGTCTCCTTCCCTCAGTTTGCAGGGTCCGTTTATCTATCTCTGATACTTGCAATGGGAGAAGACTCTAGGTCTGGGCTTTGATTGTTTTCTGCATTTGTATCTCGTGCTCGTTGAAAACTGGCTTGGGTTGTCCCTTTGCCTGTCAATTAAGCCAAAATGGCCTCGTCTGCCATGCCCGGCGATGGCGGGCAGCCTTTCCACGCTCAACCAGTTCCTGCCCTCAATCACAAACAACGGGGCCAAAAGCACCCTCGAAGGGGGAAAAATCGCCAGCACCACCCATATGCTGGTAGCACCGATGGCCCACCCAAAAACTCGCAAGCCCAATCCTGTTTTAATTGTGGCTCCCTGGAGCATTGGGCCCAGCAATGCCCAGAACCTCGGCGCGAATTTCCCGCGTAAGTTCGAGGTGGTCCATATATATAATGCCATCCAAGGCTAACGGAGCTTTCTCCAGTGGTAGTATGAGGCCTGGTCGCCCGCCCAAAAGACAGAAAACCACAGGTTCTCACATCTCCTCAAATGCAGGCGACCCGCATTACAACCACTCGCATCGGCCCCCCCAAAGAGGCTATACTCATCCTCCCGTGGCGCATTCGGGATACCAGCCCGCACCAATGTCAACTTCACCATATGGCCCCCCAACACCCATATCTGTGCACCCTCATTCGGCTGGTCCCTGGTCCCAGGAACACCCACCCCCGCATTATAATTCACCCCAATCGTACGGATTACCCACTCCCATGGGCGGCTATGGATCACAGTTTGCAAGTCCATCTACTTCTATGCCACCCCATCAAGGCCATTTCCCGCCTCATTATTCACCTCAGTATGGAAAGGCTGAATATCATCGAAAATCCTTCGATCATCGTCAACAGATTCTACCACAGGCCGGGAGCAATCGCCAATCAAGAAAAAAGTGGCGTCGTTTAGACAACGTGTCCGCAATAGCAGCTCCAATCGAACCTTGGATGGAGGAATTGCAGTCCCTTGACATCCCAGACAGCGGTGCAAATCAAGTAGAAATTGGTGCGTTTTAAAAACGAACGATATTTCTTTGGTCGCTTCTAAATGATCTTTGCTAAAGGTTTATTATAGTCTGGAGGCCAGCCGTCCAAGTTGCCCGCCCACTTCCTTCAACCTTTGATGAACGTGATGATGTGGGAATGCTTCCGCCATTCACATCCCTGCCACCTGGCATGTCTGTTTCGAAATACATCTTAGACAAGGGACCTGAAGAGTTTGTTTCCAACATTAGGAACACCGAAGATTGGCCCTTTGTGATGTCAGATCCTATTTTCCTGGAGATTTCGATGGAATGTGAACTTATACCACTAGACGAGCTCATCGCCCGTCGCAAACTGATATTTAAGACCCATCGCGTCGAGCCGCCTCCTGTCGTTGAGGAAGCCAGTGATACTAACGAAGATAACGGATATAATGAGGCAGATGAATCCGATGATGACAAAGAGGCAAATGAATACCAGGAGAGAGAAGTTTCCATTGTTAATTCTAATGAAGAGAGCCACGAACGAGCTACGAATAGGAGCCACTCCGGCGAGTGGTCTCGCACCCCATCTCACACTTCACAGGCAGACCATGGAGACGGTATGTCTTCTCCGAGATCATACCCAGCGGATGACAGGGAGTCATTGAGGGAACCTTCTCCGGAGGTGGCAGACCATCCAGCCTCCCCTAGTCCGAGGACGTACTACGGCCACCACGACTCTCATGATCATGAGAGCTCCAGACAAACAAATTCGTAAGTTTTGGCTCATTTTTAGTAGCTGTGCACATGGATTGTTCTTTCTCCTTGGGTTGACTTCTAATTGAAACGTTAAGAATAAACCCTGGTAGGGGGCGGTCGAATGACAAACGACGTGGGAATCAAAGAACCCCGAGAGATCGGACGAAGCAGATGGAGGTTCCAAACCGCAAAGCCTCCCAGCAAGAAGGCAGGCGTAATGCTCCTTTTGATCGTCGAGGAGGCCGTGGTAGCCACTTTAATTCCCAGGATCGACGAAAGCCAAAGCCGCAACACTTTAAAGGGACAAATAAACCAAAGACCAAGAAAGGACCTAATAACCGTGGACACCCATCAAACCAGGGTGATTCTGGGGTCCGTAACAGCAAGAACCGTGATAGCCAATTTGGAATGGACGGCAACACCGGCCCCGACCACACTAATAATCCGCAGGAGCATCAACGCTCCAAGGACCACGCTGAAATTCAACAGATGAAGCCATTCGATCAGCATAGCCGCCATGGTCAAGTTGGTGGCGAAGATACTGGCCGCAAGAGGAGCAGGCATGATGAGTCGCCCACAAGACCTGAAGAACCCAGACGCCAGGAAGATGACATCACTCCAAAACTAAAGCGACGGCAACCTCACGTCGCTGAGGCCTACAGGTATGGCAATTTTCAACGTAACAACTGTCTTCAATTTAAGCTAATTTATCCCTAGCCGTCGATGGTGAACACAATTCCGCCCTATGATATGTCTCTTCTTGGCATTTTATTCCCTTTTCTCACATGATAACCCATACCCGTCAATAAAACTTCACTTCACTCTTTTTCCTTTTTCAGGCCAAGGGCCTTTTGGACCTATATTTAATATATCTATATATCTATATATATAAAACAAGTGGGATTGTTTTGCGTTTGGGACAGTCTTGCTGTATCCAAATTTTCTTTTTGGATTATAACTTTGTGTCCCGTGTGAAACCTGGCTATTTAATCCTTGCACCCGGGAAAGGAAGTTTTTACTCCCCCGAATGTGCATATTTTTCCCCGTTTGCGTAGGCAACAGCGGGAGGCTTTTTTGTACCAGAAACGGGATTGCGTTCGGGCAATGTTTTAAGGCCTATTTTTATCCTCACGTCAGTTAGTTGTGGTGCTATTTTCTTTTTGCTGATCCTACTATTTTGTGCTCATTCCGAGTTTGGCACGGCATCATACTTTATTCCTCAAAAAGGCCTGGTATATGCGCCTATATCCAACCTCACAGGAAATATTTTACTTTATGGGCTACTCCTGCTTCTACTGCCGCAGCCTAGTCCTACGGACAAACCCTCTCCTTCCTTTTCGAAGCGGGTTTCACAAGTAAAAGAAAACAGGACACTACGCTTGCAAATTGCCCGCTTTTTTGTAAAACGATAGAAGCGATTTTCCCTTTGGCGAATATTCACCAGGGATCATCTGGTTTCGGCTTGCACAGGCCATCCGGACAAGGGAGGCTCAATATCACTGCTTTCGGATATTTTCCTACTCATCATTCGGCTCAGCGGAGTAAGCCCACAGGCGCCTTTTTATTTTTCCTATATATTCCCAGTAGCCATACGGGAAATCCTACTATAGGTTTTCTTTTCATTTCTACGTTATTCCCCTCCTTTCCTTTGACAACTGAGGAATATCCAAGGAACCGAAAGCTGGCCAGATTGGATACCCTACCGATAACCGACAGTAATGTCGACCTATCCAACTAATACACCGCTATCTCGTTGTTTATGGATGGGACGAAGTTGAATGCATGCGCGTAGGCTACCAAGCCTCAGGTGATAAATGTTATTTGTATCCCGGTTTCTGCGGGATTTAGGACGCTGTATGACCAACTACTGCTATCCGTCCGTTAGGTCAAGGGGGAAAACTACCTTCAACGAGGTGGGCCGTGATATTCCCAGTCCTCTCCCACGAGATCAGGAAGTGCCTTGCGTTGGCAAAACGATAGATAGTAGCCTTGATTACCAACCAACACAAACATCCAGGCCAGCGAACGAGCTGAATTGAGTTGAGAACCAGGGTTGCCGCCGCCATACAAAGGGCCAGAAGAACCAAAAAACCCTTTGGTTGTTGTTCATGTTATGTTTGTCGATATTATGTTATTTATATCCTGCCGGTACACCATGGGCTTTTTGGCCATCTTTGCAATCTTATGATATTTAGTCGCCCATGCGGGCACGTAATTAAGGTTCAGATAAAAAATAAAAAATAAAACTGCCATTTGGCCAGGGCCCTTTCATACACATTTTACATTTTTCCCCACTTGTAATGCGATGTGCTGGATAGAACCTACAGTACATGTTGGGTTAGTTTGAAGTTGGATTCAAATTTTGGCGAGCCCTTCCAAGCAGTCCAAGCAGGAGCAATTGAAAACAAATAATCTACAGAACTAACACGAGCCATCATCGAGTCCTGGCACTGGCCATAGTAATTCAAGAAATGTTTCTTTCTTTGCTCTACGTTGCAACTTGCGCTCCCTTGTATTTGAGGCTTCAACAGAGGCTGACCGACACAGCATAAGATGGAGGCTTTAGAAGGGAGTTGTGAGGTTGGAAAGATGCGATGACAATGCGACGACCAATCGTGAAAATGCTATCCCAGCTTAAAATACAGTGGTTAAAACAAATCTCACAAAAAGTAGGTGTTAATTAAACAAGGGTAAAAGAAAAGAAAAGAAAAGAAAGAAACAGAAAAAGAAGAATAAGAAGGACTTTTTTAGGTCGTACTGGGACTCGAACCCGGGTTTCCAGAATCAGAATCTGGCGTGCTAACCGCTACACTATACAACCGTAACTTGATTGGTTGCCGGCGGCATGGATTACGTCTCATTTACATTTTACTCCTCGGTGTGAAAAATGAAAAAAAGAAAGAAAAATAACAGAGAAATTCTTTTTAAAAACAAACTTCCACATTTACACATTAGGTCGTACTGGGAATCGAACCCAGGTTTCCAGAATCAGAATCTGGCGTGCTGACCGCTACACTATACAACCGCGAGTTATTGGCAGACCCAACCCCACTTCCATATTTTTGGGCCAGGCATTTGATCACGAGATAAAGTTATACAGTTTTGCGGAAGCAACTCAGTAAGTAAGCTATGTAGCTATCTTACCATCTCTCATTTCTACATACTTAAATTACTGATTATATGTCCTCGATAATAATGGAATGGACTGGCATTCTGAACAACTGGGACGGTGCAGACCGCCCGCTGTTCATTCAGCGGGTCCCTGCCCAGTTTCTCTCCCCTTCAAAAGTCAGAACTTGGGGATCCTAGAACATCTCAAACGTTACAGCTCTTTTCTGCCACAACTCATGCATGAGCTCACACCCAGGGATTGGAACCAACTGGCAATTTAAATAGGATTGAATGCCGTGTAACTGTTGGTTAAAATGAAGCAGAGGCACGTGATTCAGGGGTATATCTGTTTTCGACACGACCAGGACGCGGTGGCTTTAAAGTCATCCATCCCGTTGCCAGTATCGTCAAAAGCAGCAACCATACCCATCCCAATATTGTCACGATAGGTGGCTCCAAAGTGCGATGGATACCGTCCATAACCCTTCCCAAGACATCCCTTCCGAGGGCCAGAATCACCATGAATCCAACAACCAGACAACAACTCACGATGCAAACGAGCCCAAGCTTCACAAGACCCTTGACAACCAACGCACCATCACCCTCTCAAGTGCTCTGGACCAAGAGGAAGACATGAGAATGGAGTTGCAATATTTGACAAAAATGGCAGACCTACTTACAAATTTATCAATCGAAAAAGAGCAGATCCGAAAGCTTGTTGCTTCTCATTGCGGGTTAGCCAGTCCTGATATGGTTCAAGTGCCGGATATGATTGACTCAAATAACCACCTGACGTGGTTGTATGGAAGCTTCAACGTGTGCATCCCAGTGCGCATCAACACTGGATCACACCTACCTGCAAAAATGGCATTCAGGGTGCCTTTGCTACATAAGATTGGTGAAGAGGCGTTCCCTGGTAATGCTGAAGAGAAAGTGCGGTCCGAGGCTGCAACCTACATCTGGATCCATGAGAACTGCCCGGATATACCAATTCCAAATCTGCGTGGATTTGGCGTCCCTGGTGGCCTTAGTGTGAGTGTATAATCGCCATTTCGGTTGCCGCTACATAGTCTGCTAACATTTGGCGAGATGACAGTTCTTCCAGCCTAGCTTCGTTCCACTCTGGCAGAGGATCAGGACCCATATCTGGCGCTTTTTCTATAGTCTGTTTCGAAGTTCAGACGGGAGCTATGCGTCTTTTTGCAAATACATCCCACAAAAGAGGACTACATTCTTTGAATATAGTTATATCCTGATTGACTGGATCGAAAGTGACGACTCGCAGATCCTCGCGTATACATGGCAGCAGCCTCATACAGACAAACAGACTGAGAATCTATACAGGGGCATTTCAAAAGTTATGATTTCTCTTGCTAGGATCCCACAACCCCGAATTGGCTCTTGGACCATCGATAACGACGGCCGACTAAGTTTGTCCAATCGTCCTCTATTCCTTCAATTCCATCAACTGGAAAATTGGGCTATTCCAACTATCCCGCGAAACATCACCTACTCAACTGCTGATAGTTTCTATCTTGATTTACTTTCTTGCCATGACAGCCGACTTCGATATCAAAAAAATTCTGCCGGTAGCGAAAAGGATACACGTGAACAAGCCCGAGATCTAGTGATGATGAGAGCACTTCTTCATGAATTTACCAGACAACACTCCCGGAATGGCCCGTTTGTCATGCAGCTGACTGATCTGTATCTTGGAAATATCTTCGTGGATAAGGACTGGAATCTCAAGCATGTCATTGATCTTGAATGGACATGCTCTTTGCCACTTCAAAACCTGTTGCCTCCGTATTGGTTGACAGGTAAGGGCATTGATCAACTCGAAGGCCCAGAGTATGGACCTTTCAAGACATGTTACGAAAAGTTTGCGGAGATATTTGAAGAGGAAGAAGACAGGGCAGGACAACTACACCACAATGGACACCACCTGTCTCGGGCCACGAGCTTGAAAAGTGCCCTAGAAGATGGTCGATTCTGGTACTTGGCCGCACTCCGAAGCCCAAAGGGTCTGTTCAACGTTTTCAGACAACATCTAATACCATTCTATGGACTCACTAACGAATACAAATGTCTCGCGGAGACTGTATCTTCATTCTGGACACCTGGAATGGCTTCATTTGTGGAAGTGAAGATGAAAGAACTGGGCCAGTACAAACAAGAGGTTCGGGATATTTTCGATGATAGTGCAAAGAGTGGGCATCCTCGATTCTCCCCCACATAGCCATGGTTTTGTTACTTGCTCCCACATAATGGAACGGTTCTACAAACTTCTAATTTCCCCTATGGCGTCGTGCAAGAGCGTCATGACCACTTTTGCTCACGATTTGGGCTGCTTGGGGATTCTGGGCTACCCCTGCGCTGAAATTCTCTCCTGTCCTTTCTGATGCTGCCGTAGGTAGTGCCCTACCCGTCAAGGCTTGTAATGTTAGCTCTCTGTCCCTTTTGACGTGTTCGGGAACCGTAGTATCGCCCGTTGTATTGCTTTCAGCAGGATCGTGAGTGGTAGCAACGTTATCAACTCTTTGTTCATATGTAGAGTCTTTAGTAGTGCTTGCTGCCTGGATCGAGGAGTCCATGCTAAAGGCACTCATCAGTTGAGGCTGATTATGCCCAGACTGATTGTCAGAATCTGGGCTCGACGAGTACGGGCTAAAGCGACTAATCTCTTCATGCTGATTCTGCTGAGGCTGATTGTTGGTTGTCTGGCTAGAGGGAGGGTTTCCTTGCCTGGCTCTGTTGAGCCTGCGGCGGGGATCTTGCATGACGACTTCCTGTCTTGAACATTAGCTACGGTTATGAGTGAAGAGATGCTGTGTGTTGTCATACCGTGAGTTCATACCGTGAGTTCTTTCGCAGAAAGAAAAGGTTTTATCTTGCTATCTTGCTATCTTGCTATCTTGCTATTGAGATCTCTTTCGATTCCTGATTAAGACCGGAAGCGTGCAAGCAAGGCATTTTATACTTGACAGGGCAATGAGCTGTTGCATATTTGCCTCCCCAGGTAAGGTACCTAGGGAGGTAGGTATAGTAGGCAAATCTAATCTTATGATCTTTGTTAGAGGGTTTTCTTTTGCGTATAGTTGTTCCAAACATAGTCAGGGGGGAGAATGATATGAAGCGAAGCATGAAACCGACCAGTTTGCAGACTCACCTTTCACCTCAAAGTTGTCCATTCTAATCCGTGCCATTTCCCCTAGGCTGGATTAAAATGGGAATTCTCACTATATTGCCGCCCAAGTCTTTTCTTCCTTTGTCATATGGCATTGCATCATGGTCTGAGCAACCCCACCCAGCTCAAAGTTCTTGGTGTCTTCGTGAATCCTTCGAAACAAGATGTTGGATTGTTTGCGTGGCGGCTGTGTTTGGAATTGATATTTCATATCAATTCGTCAGCAATCATAATATGCAAATGAATGATAACTGACCTGCTGAGCAGTGATGGCCCTGTTTCAACCTCAGATCCCCTGAGCACATACATGCCCAGGTGTTGTTGTGTCATGCTTCAGAAAATCCCAACAATTGAAATTGAAACAAAGGTGTGTTGATATGTGCTTATAGATATTAACACATAGCCTTGTCTTGTCTAAGTGGCATGAAAAAGATGATACGTCCAATTCAATCAATAGAGCCAAAGTTAAACCATTCATCGTACCAGAGCGGCTTTTTCATCATCCGAACCCGTATGCTCGTCATCTTCTTCATACTCATCCCCTAGCTCGTCCTCTCCCTTTTGGCTCTCCTCCTCTGATTCCTCCTCCGATTCTTCACTCTCCTCGCTCTCATATTCCGTACTTCCTTCTTCGTCCTCCTCATCTTCCTCGCTCTCCTCACTCTCCTCTTCCGCAAGCCAATCATCCAACGTCTTCTTCCCATTCCCCATTGCAGTCCCATTCTGCCTAACCCTCCCCGTATCAACATCATGCTCCCTGAGTGCATGATCCAACCTCTCGCCAGCCGTCAAATTCACCTTCTCAACAAACCCAGCTCTGCTGCTGGCACTATCGTCGCGTAGTTTGGGATCAGGCTCTTTTCCAGCCTCGACCCAGTCCGGAAGAGGTTCATAGCCACGCAAACCATGGATACCGGCATCCGGCCCTATGACCAGCGTAGATGTGCCGAGGAGCAGGCCCTTGCGCGTTTCGGATGGGGAAGGAGTAAAGGGGACTGGTTTCGGGGCAAGGAGGAGGAGGCTAGCGAGTTGTGTGGAGCTCGGAACTGCGAGTAAAGATTTGTAGAGGCGGGCGCGATCGCGGAGGTCGTAGGAGGTATCATAGCGGGCTAGGAGGAGGATATACTGCCATAAGACTACCATGGGGTCTTCTTCTTTTTGTCCTTCTTGGAAAGGAGGGTGTGAGGGGCCATCATGGTCATAGCCGTGGTTTACATCATTATTATCATCGGCCGTATTTTTAGCTGTTTCGGCGATATTTAGGAGGTGATGGAGGTAAACCTTCGCGCCTAGAAGGACAATTTGCTGCTTTGACGCTTCGGATTCATCTGCGAACCCTTTGGCGAGAATCCGCAGGACATCCGGAGCAATATTATTGCCCACGTCAATGCCCGCAAACTCTCCCACTAACCATATGATGCTGGCCCGTGCATCAGGGCTAGTTGTTGTGTCTAGGTGTTTAGCTAGCATGACGACTGTGTTTTTATGTGATGCAGGATCCTGCTGGATAAGATGCCTAATGACGGTTAAGGCCTCTGACACAAGATTATCGTCTGCGCTGGATATCTGGCCCAGGAGAACTCGAAGGCACCGCGCTGACGTGGTCGCGTCACTTTGAGCACATCTCCCGATTGCCCTTACACTTTCTCGAACGAGGTCAGGTTGGGATCCATGTGAAAAATGCTCCAATTCACTAACAATGATGCCTTTAAGGTGCAGCCCACAGTGTGGGAATAGTAAGGTCAAGATCTCTAGCTTTAACCTCCATATATGCGGAACATCGGACGAGCGAATTAGAAAATGCGAAGCGTATTTCAAGAAAGGCTTGGGGTCGACGAGTGCAATGCATATGATGTTGTATAGCGCCACATGTTGAGTATCCTGCGGACCCCGCAATAGGGCAATTAATGGCCCAACTGCAGTATTGAGGTATGTGGGCGTTCCTACGTATAGAAAGAGGCGGACGACGCTCACGATGACGGCGGAATTCCGACTTTGAAGCAGAGGTTTGCACGCTTTTAGCAGGAGATCAAGATCTGGGTCGACTACCTGAATCTCCTTGCCGAACTCCTCGGGTTCCGCATTCCCTTCATCTTCATCTCCATAAAAACCCTTGGGGTTGGATACCCTTATTCTTTCTGTCCTCCTAGGAAAGCATTTTCTGGCATATACTGTCATCAGCCGTAGGGTCGCAAGCTGGCCCCATTCATCCATATCCACCAGCTTCCTCACCAGGCTGCGATAATGTTTGTGTATCAAATCAATCCTGTCAGGGCACACCTCGAGAAAGGACGATACTGCAGGTCCCACGACGAAGTACTGACTGTCGCCTAGGAGTGTAGATAGATATTCCAAAAGCTGAGGCAACGTGGATGGATCTAGTCTATAGCATTTTGGAATGGCTAGTGCTGCAGCTTTGCGCACATGAGGACTCATATCTCCACAACCACGTTTAATGGCCAACGACACGATCTGGTTAATAACGGGAACCCTGATCCCCGACATTGTCCGCAAAGCCATGGCGCGCACTTGAGGATTCTGATCCGTCAATGATTTTTGAATGGCGTTGATAGAGAGGAGTGCGAGATCCGGTTCGGACTCGGCATGGTGAAGTAGGTAGATGTAGACTAGTTTCTTCACCTCGATATTTGGGTTCGCGACGTTCTTCACAACTGAGGAGAAAAAGGGTAGACATGGTTCGCCTCTATACATTAACTGGATACTCTGTCAGCGCCTTTCATTAACCATATTAGAGAGCATCGATCATACAGCTATGACTTTCCGCAACCCGTCCAGTATATCCCGATCACTCCTGCTGTCGAGGAGCTTCTTGATCTGCGAAAACGAGATATGGCGGTATGGTGAGTTTGATTTGAAAGCGCCCCGGGAACTGCTGGCGCTTTGAGCGGCTTCGATTGTGAGCTCCCGAGCTGTAGATACCATATAAGTATATGCTGATGCTCCATATGACCGGGGAATCTTAAAACGGGCAGCGGGTTAATTACCTGTTTCCAGCATGGAGGAAATGCGCGAGATCGACTCCATTTTTCAATTTGGCCCCAGCAGCTGCGCGCGCCCGCAGCTAATCTGGTGTAGTCGAGCAGCTCATGGAATAGAAACGGAATGGTGGAACAAACAAGGCGGTGGGCGGGGGTGAGTTGGTGTTGGTAGTGCGCAGGATGACGCTGTGGTTGAAGTTGCCGAGTGATGGAGCTTTGGTGGCGTTGTTGTCTTGTCCCTCGCCAAGTACGACAACGACGACACACCCAAGACATCAACTGTGATATATCGATGGATACACGCCTGTTGTGCTTTGCAATATCTGCACTGAGATATAGACGAGTGAAACTATTACTATGACATTTATAGTCTCACCCAAACATCTATCTTGCGGAACAGAGCAAGATCTCTCTCCCCTTGGCGAATGCCCCTCGATATGGTCTCCAATCGCAGCCCAATTATCCTATCTCTAGACTCCACAGGAGACTTAGTGGAACATCTACTTGCAAGAGACGCGCCTGCAACCACACTGATTGTATGCTCTACCAGAGATGCCTTTTTACAGCAACTGTGCGCTGCAGTGACGTCAACTGAACAGGGAACTGAACAGCCGCCCTCACCACAAGATGACCACGGCATGGACTACCATATATCCTCAAATTGTCGGTTTTACAATACCATAGGGTTGATTGCTCAGTCTAAAAAGGTCACATTGGCGTTTTGCCCAAGCCTTGAGCATTTTCGTGCTTACATATCTGTTTTCCGACGTCGGCGGCTGCCGTCACCTCAACAAGAGCACGGTCGTCTCTCATACAGAAGTAGGCCTGTACTGGCTGTCCTTGGTCTGATTGCACTTCATTACGATACGAAGGAGTTTTCTGCCCAGGGCATTGCGAAAAATCTCGCACTCACTGTTGAGATTGCTGCTAGGGAGGGGTTTAATTTGACCTTGTGCGAGTGCGTTGTTGTTGGTCGTGAAAATGCCAGTGGTGGTCGCCTGTGGGATGCTGAAGTGCCTCTGCTAAGCGGACAGACACTCGTGGCGGGAACTGAAAGTGCTCATACAGGGCGGACTGTGAAAGTGAATCAAGTTGCGAGAAGATGGTTTTATTTTGTTTGAGTGAACAAAGTATTTACAAAGACGAGAAGGAATCCTCCTTGAATTATGGAACCTGCCCCAAGTTCCCCAAGTTTATGCAAGAAAGCCCCCAAACCAGAACCGGGAAAACAATACCAAATCAACCTTGAAACCATAAGGGTATCCTGGAAAAAGAAAAAAAAAAAAAAAAAAGGCACGCCTAACCGCTCGATCGAACACCCAAGTCCTAACTCCTAAAACCCGAGCCCAATTTGAACCGACAATCAATTCTCAAAGACATTTTTCCATTTCCGTGATGTAAAGCTTGATGTGGGACTCTAACTTCAAGTACTCGTCGTGGGCGTTGTGAATTTCATTCTCGATATTTTCTTTGAGGTCGACCATCTGCAGTAGAGGTTAGTTGGGTGAAATTCCAAGCCACAAGTATTTGAAACTGTTTGGTGTGTCACCTTCTTCTCTGTTTGCTCGATCCGAATCCTCCGCCTTTCCATGTCGCGCTGCTTCTCGGCACGTTCCTCGCGAAGCTGCTTCTGAATTTCCCTCAGCTCCTCCATCCGCGCCTGTGCTGATTCCTGTTTCTCTCGGCTACTTCTCCTTAGCGCTTCCGTCCGTTCGTGCCAACGAGCTAGTTGTCTTTGTAGAAGTTTCTCCGTTTGGGCCACTTCCCGGACTGTATTTCCCCGCTCTGTGAGCGCGTCTCTGTTCCGAATGGCTCGAGCATCTTCTTCCTCCTCCTTCTGGAGTTCTAACGCAATGTCTTCTAAAACTTTTACACAACTTTGGACATCATTGGAAACAACATTAAATGTGTCCATTGATGTCTGTAACGCACGCATCCTCCTTTCCATATTATCAATCTGCAGTTTGTCCCTCGTTAGACTGTCCGACAACTCGGTTAGAGACGCCTGAAGCGATGCTGGGCTTTGTAATACGTATGGCCGTAACTTCTCACTCTCCTGTTTGCTCTTCAAGATTTTCTCAGTCATCTCCTCGAGATAGGTTTGTTTTCGGGCCTTCTCCATCTTAACTCGCTCGAGGGTTTCAGCAACACGCTCTTGACTCCGCCTCAACTCCAACAATCTGATTTTTAATTCATCATTCCTTTTAATCTTTTCGTTCACGGGTCCTTCCATCGCTTTTTGCTGCCTGCTCATCTCCGCTAGTCGCTGTTGCATTTCCTGGTTCTCCGCATATAAAGCCTCAATGCGTGCCTTGGTCGTTTCGGATTTACTAAAATGCTTGTCAATCACGCTCGTTTGCGTTTCGCGAAACCGGACAAAATTAATAAGGTAAGAGAATATTTTGACAAGACGGTCGTGTGTAGGTTTTGTAAGATCGGTAAAGGCAAAGTCGTTGACACCGCACTATATATATCAGTTAGAAATTGCGCATTATAAGTATACATAAGAGGACATATATCCAGCATACCTCAACCATCAGCTTCCGCAGGGACATGAAGAACCCCATCAGATTGCGAGTGTCGGGCGGGATGAGATCGACATGGTCTGGACATATATCCTCCGCAGCTGCGCGCATAGCCGGCTCGACAGTCTCTCGGGTCGCATTCATTAGTAGCTCGGCGAACGATTCGAAGACTAATTGGATCTGTTGCGGATTCGGCTTAACCAGGTCGGCGACGGAGAACGGGACACCAATATCGTTTATACACCCTGCGATTTCCCTGTCTGGCTGCAAAAATAATTATTATTAGCAAACACCGGGTTGCACTTATGGATACAATACAATAAAACTATATCTGCTTACAAGTCGCATCAGCGCATCACTATCGTCTTCCTTCTTCTTGCTCCGACCACCACCCTGCTGTTGATGGCCCCCATGCCCGTGCTGGTTCATTCGGGAATTGAATGCCATATTGCAGATACATAAAAGAAAATGCGCATCGGGCAGTTATAATCTTCGTGGCGCTAAAGCGACAAAGTTTTATATATAGATTTCGCTCACGATTGAATATATTTCTTCTTCTATTGCGGCCGTTGGACGGAAGGAATTTGTTTTGTTTACGCAGGGACGATGACAGCATGCATCCAAAAGGGGTTTAGCGGACGTGAACGAGGGGTTGTTGCAAATAGTACAAACAATAGAAACAGTACAAACAGGGCGGCTTGTTTTTTGGTGGGAGAATGTCTTGGCATCATCTCATCCGCGATTTCAATCATTCTCCGACTGCTGCGTGTCTTTCAAGCGTCAAATATTATTCTCTTGTCACGGATCTCACTGATATGTGATTGGCTCCATGGTGCAGCTTAGTTTTTAAAATATTAAAACCTTTCTGCCCGTAGAAAGACTTCAGCCATCCCAAATATCGAACCTCTGACTCACTTCCCCAAGTAGGGGCATAATACCTCCCCGCTGATAGCTTCTTTGCGCTCATTTCTTGGTGCAATAAACGACTCGCACTTATACCTGGCCATCTACCTGCGTGCCGAATATTAACACCAGCTAGCGCAATTACTATCTGCCAGTGGGCGGACGTTTTCGCGCCCAATGGCAACAACCATGTCGTCCGCAGACAGTTCCAAGCCTTTTGAGTATGCATGCACTACACTCCACCGGATAAATTCTACTGAGTTGAACATGGGCACTGATACTCCGCTTACAGCATCGTTGCCACATACAATGACCTCCTCCTTTCCGACCCCGACCTTACAATGCCAATCGCGGCCATCGAAGCATTGGTTCTCCTCCTAACTCACTCCCCCTCCTCCACAATATCCGAAACCTTGGATCTACTAGAAAGACACACGGCACACTTAAAACGCTCAATAGCGAACCCAATTGGTCTTTCAGCAGGTACTGATCTTTTCCAACGGTACCTCATAACAACACTACAAAGACCAGGCCAGCTAGGGCCCGCGGGAGATTTCAATGCAATCAGGTCGCATCTACTGACCAACGGCCGGTTATTCATCAAGCGCGCGAAGGAAAGCAGGGATCGGATTGCTGCATTCGGAAGAGGCTTTGTACGGGATGGAAGCACGGTGTTAACGAACGGCGATTCTAGGGTGGTAGGGGCCTTATTGCGGAAGGCTGCGGATGAGCTGAAGGAATCTGGAGCCCCCGCGGCTAGATTTCGGGTTATTTACGTGTTGTCGAACGTTCACACTAAGGATGGCAATGGCGATGGTAGTTCGTCTGGGTCGGACCTGGAAGGTATGGATACGGTCACCGCACTTAGATCTAGAGGCGTTCCGGTAGCTACAATCCCGGAGTCGGCAGTGGCATATGCACTGGGGATGGTGGATATGGTTATTGTGGGCGCGGAGGGCGTGGTTGAGAACGGCGGTATCATATCGCGCCTGGGGACGTATCAAATTGGTCTTCTGGCCAAAGCGGAGGGCAAGCCATTCTATGTCGTTGCAGAGAGCCACAAGTTCGTCAGGCTGTACCCACTCGGCCAGTACGACCTGCCGATCAAACAGAATGTTGTCGATTTCAAAATGGACCAAAGCAGCGAGTCGGCCAGGACAACCTCCAGCGACCAAACAGGAAGCCAAAACCACGAACATGCAACGAAAGAACCAAGGAATCACCTCAACACGCCACCTAGCGAGCAAACGCCGACACCTACCGAGGAAAAGATATCCATAAAACAGGATGCCGTTGATTTCACACCTCCTCATCTCATCTCCGCTCTGATTACAGAAAGCGGCGTGCTTACACCTAGTGCCGTTAGTGAGGAGTTGATCAAGATATGGTTTTGAATTTACAACCCTTTGCCTCAGACTCTTTAAATACTTCTTTTCTTTCGTCTGTCGCTGGTTGAGAAGTTATGCATCAATCGAAAGATGATATGGAATCGTTAATAGCCTTTTCCGCCTCGATGTTTCGTGAAAAATATCCGGGCCGTTCTGGCTGCTTCCCAACGGTTGCTGACAGTAGCTTCGTAAGCTCCTTATTAGCCAACTATATAATCCTTCATTCAAAAGCAGAGCCAGACACGGGTGGCATAAAAGATAGGAAATAATAAAGTCATCTTAACTTAATATACATCAGTACATTCACTATTAGTATTTAATAGGTATCATAATTTAACCCAAAACGCCCACCCCAATTTTTACTGAAAAATATATATTACACCAAAATTAGAAAAGGAAACCACATGAAAATAAGCTATGAATAAATAAACAAAATAAAACAAAATAACAATAAAAACAAACCAAGCATGTATATATCCCTTTAGGCCAAGAAAATCATGTCTCTCACAGGAACTTTCCTAGTCTCCTGCGCCGGAGTTTTTGCCATGTGTTTTTTCACTTTTAAATTTCATCCTGGGGCGGGCCTGGTGCTATACCTTCTGGCTGAAGGGGGATGACTTTGTATGTCCGTGGCTATCACCCCCTCCCCCCATCAGGCACATTGATGATAAAGGTGAGGTGATAGGGTATGGAGTGTTCGGAACATGATGTTACTTGCTGTTCTTCTCCTTGGGTTATTATTTGGTGGCGCAAGCTCGCGAAGGGGCGCACATCTTAGCAATGAACGATGGACCGTTATCGGGGTGGTCCGGCTCTGCGTCTGGTTGAATTTGGTAAAGCGAATGATGATTCTTCGTTCCTGGTGTGGACGTGTAGAATGAGTGTTTTCAAAAAAATCGTGTTTCATGGAGTGATACCAGGTACCGCCAATCATGCTACCTGTATATGTCTGAGGGTGAAATATAGCCAAATTCAAAGGTAATAAGAGTTGCGTGAGCGTTCTGTCTCGCATTGCAGATATGGTGTGTCGCGGTTGTTAACTTCTTTCGTACATACATGGCCACATATGTCGGATTGTATATCAGCTGAATTTCCTCGCGAGAGGTCATTCATCCATAGAGGTGTAGAGTTATCATCGGAACATGGAGTAGCGACGGAAAATGCTGTTTATCTCCAGGAGGGCCCATCTGTCCTTCCCCCAGAGTCTACCTATTCATTCCTCCCCCTCTTCCTCAGGGATAGGAGGAAGAATATCAATCTCGTATCTCGCATGCGTGCCCAAAACTTCCCTATACATCTGAGCCCCAGTACGAGGAATGGGAATCCTGTCAGGCATCCTTGGCCGTGTATTCCTTCTCGCAATCCCTTCTACGAAGAGGACAATCATGCATGACAGTAGAAGGGCATTGCGAAAGTATTCCAAAATGGCGTTGGTGCGCAGGGAGAAGATTTGAACTGTCTGGATGAATTTGCTGATGGCATACATGGTCACGCTTCAACCTTTTCTGGAGTGGATGTGTATGTAGATCTGTTCAGCGATATGCAGATGACGTCCTGGAGTAGATATATGTATATAGTCAAGCATAGAGATATGTAGTTAATTTTATCACTTGTGAGAAGCATGAGAGTAGACGTGCATGGGAAAGAGGGTATGGGAATGAAAAGGAAATATAAGAAATAGAATAAATCGGAGGAAGAGATAGATACTGTTTCCTTCTGACGACATTCTTTTGAGTTTTCGAAGATACACCTCAGAAAGCAAGATTAGATGAACTTATTCCTTAAAGGATGGAGGCAGCCGTAATAAGTAGAGACCAAAACTATAATATAGACATGTCCGTAATGGCCACAAAGTATGCGAGCGCCGAAAGAGTTCATCATGCATCTGGAGAACTAAAAACGGGTTGAACACAGTTTTGACAGATATTAGGCTCAAAAAGGTAAAGTAGAAATGGTGTTTCATGTCGTGAGCAAGAAAAACAGTAGATGAATGCAATGTAACTGATCTCTACATCTGTAGAGCTAACCTCGACCTCTCTCGAGGTCTCAGGCCATGTATCGCCTAGGTATGACGAACAGTAGAAGACATTTCCTTGTAGTTGTAGAGCTATTCAGAATAACTTTCAAGTTACATTTTGTCAGCTTGCTGGAGAAAAGCAAGGTGTGTGTGTATATATCAGGTCGTTAACGAGGATTTGTATGTCGACGAGAATAGTTGAAACGTTAAACGCAGCGTAAGCTGGGGTGAACCTAAAAATAGGCGGATTTAGCAGGGCAACGCGGCTGGCGAGAAAACTCTATTTTTTTAAGCTTTGTCGGGAGAAGCTTATTTTAGCCGCCAAACCACCAGCGTCAAAACTGGAGGATGGGAAGGTTGAGGATATGCAAAGTTAGATATTTTGTAGGATTGCTTGAACGGCACGTGTATATAGTTCGACTGAAGTGGAAAGGTCTGTTGACGGCCCCGAATATAGCTAGTGAGGCATCGTAGGTTTGGATGAACCATAGTATAGTTACTCCGTACGGAGTACTAACTAGCCATAGTGAGCTCCTACTCGAATTAATCACATCAGAGCACTTGGAAACGGTAGCCTGCAATAACCACCGACATTGGTTATCTATCTATCTTAATAGTTAAACTATTTATAAAAGGGATGTCTATCTAAAAGTAAAAGTAAAATAGAATAAACCTAAGAACTACTTAGAAACAAAGAGATGTCATAATCATAGAAAAACAAAACATCATTAATCGCGAGTTTAAAAACGAGCACATACACACAACTCCATCATGACTGAAATTCCCCAAACTCCCCACCGCCATCATCGTCATTATCACCGAAGCCCAGGACCACCTTATTCTCTTCCGTGTTCAACATAGACTGCGGCCTTCGCCGTCGATCGCTCCGCCCGCCGGATGGCGGGGGCGCGATCATTGGAAATGCCGTAGAGGAGGAATCGCCATCTCCATCCCCTCTCGAAGCCGGCGCTGGCGGCGGAGGGAGGGAAAATAACGCCGTCTGTTCCTCCTGGGCAGCCATAGCGGGGCTGACCAACTTATCCGCGGTGTTGGGTTTCTTCCCACCAATATTGATACTGATCGTCTGCCCGGGTTTCAGGCTGTAATCTCTTGGCGGCTGCTGCGCTGGGCTTCCCGGTGCCGGTTTCTGTTGTGGGCCTGATCCTGGTAATACCCTACCCGTTTTGGCTGTTGTGGTAGCGGCGGCCCTTCCTGTACCTGTCTGCCCACCCTGGGCAAACCCCAACACCTTCCGCGCCTCTTGCAGCGTGACGCCGAAATCGAAGGCTTCGCTTCTATCTTCGAATCCAATGCCTAATATTGCTTTTCGCCCGTCATTCATAACTCTTATCGCGAAGAACCGAGAAGAATCGATGGCATGCTCGACGGCGCCTGGATCGGTGTACGGGGCTGCCGCGAAGAGGTTTCCGGTGCTTGGGTCCTCCAGGACAATGTCTACTTTGACTTTTTCTTGCGGACTAGCTACCGCCGCCGCTATGGTAGTTGCTGCTGGGATGCCTGGACGGGGTGGTATCTGTGTCCATGTGTGCGGTTGCGGGGGAGCAGGGAGGGTAATTGCGGTCTCAATAATGCGAAGTCGGGCAGTGAAGATCTGGCGGGTCTGGTTGTTATTCTTCGGATCTGGAACGGTCCAATCGGCAGCGGCGTAGCCCTTCATAGAGGTCAAAGGTGGAATTGCATAGACGTGGACGGGATGGCAGATGAAAAGGACTCGTTGGATAGCATCGTTCGGGAGCTCTTTGCCCGTTGCGGGATCGATTTGACCAGACATTCTAGAAGTAAGTTAATTTCGGTATGTGGGGGGACGGGAAAAAGCTCGCATAGAGCGCTTTGAATGGTACGCTCCGAAACTATACACAGGATGTGCGGTGTTTCCCTTCCATCTTGTTATGATTGCTGAAGGCGGCGGGTGCAACAGCTGGAAACCCCGCTGCCTGGTGGGGTAATAACAATACGAAATTTTGCGCAGTTAGGCTATTTAAGTCTCGTATCGATTGGTAATGTTGTGACGCACCCTACGCCATAACATAACTGTTCCGTTTTTGGAACCCCACTCTATTTTGAATATTAATACCAACTTGTGTAACTTCTATGTGTTTGTCGATATTCCATTCTCTAGGAATTACATGTCTGGAAAATGCTGATACAAGACAACGCGGATGGGTTTCGCGTGTTGTTTTACTTGTGCGTCATCTTAACTATGCATTCCTGGATTTAGTTGAGGCTGGCATCTATCTTCCTGACGGATCCATGGATATACACCCAGGAAGGACGTTTGTTGCAGGCCAATGATTGTCCAGGCAGGAGAATCCAGACCAATGCAAAAAATTGGATCTACTGGTGAACCCATGGGAATGCAGAACCTATCTGCGGACTTTGGAAGCCATCCTCAAACTTTTGTCTCTTGGATTATGACGATATTTCGGTGATTTGTCACAATCTCTATCCGCAGAAGCATGGCCGTAAAAAAGCTCTGCCCCTCCAAAATCAGCTTACGTGATGATGATGATGATCATCATCATCTTGGACATCATCATCTTGGACATCATCATCTTGGACACTTTCCGCAGAACATGTATCTTCAATGGGCTCCTTGAAAACATACCCCGTGGAAAGGCTAATGAGGAGAGGAAAATATATTTAAAAACCATCTACAACGTCCGCAGGATCAATCACCTACAGCCGGGTAATATCTCAGGACGTAAAAGGATCGAACGCTGTCAGGGGCAAGCCGACGATGTAGAACTTCCAAGACGAGGGTGATTTGATTTGCCTAATGCCTAATGAACCCTTTTCATTCCAACTAAGTTTTTCTAAACCAGATGGGATGGATTGGATGGATTGACAACCGTCGGTCCCTGTTCTTAAAGAGTTCTGCTGCTGAAAACCAGGAAACATGGAAAACTAATATCAAACTCACCAGTTAGTTAGTTGGTTATCACTGGAACAGGACAAGCAACCGCAGACGAGATTACGACACGATGTCAAGCGAATTAACGCACTATTTTGCTGGACAAAAAGACACTGCAGCCAGTCTCATTGCGACGCCACTGTTCATCCACCGCGCGATGGGAATCGACATTTCGAACGAACTGTGAGAAAGCAGAGAGACATGGTTCCTCGCCGGATCCGGCCTGCCAGATGGTGAAAAACCAAATATGCTGACATATTTAGGACATTTTTTTTATGATATTATACGTAGAGGCAATATTATTTTCAGTACGGCGCCATCCAGTATGCTTGTTTGAGTTAATGATAACTAGTTATTGGGTGGAATGTTAACGAAAAAAGAGAATGTTTATGGAAAAGCAAGTAGACAGGTTCTCCCGCTTTCTTTGTCTCAAGTCTTTTTCTTTCTTTTTTCTTTTTGCTCGTTTCTTTTCCGTGACTGTGTCACCCAGCTTGATAGCGGGGTCGTTGATTGCTTCTGACACCGCTGTAGATCGGATCTCTCCATCCAACCAACCCCTTCGCCAGGCGCGCCAACGAACAAGTTTCCGGAACAGGGCTCAAGAAGCAGGAACAGGAATGGCCAGTTATATATATCCCCAACCAGAGGATCGTGTTGGCAGGGCAGGAGGAGACTGGGCCTTTGCCCTGAGAGCCGTAGCCCATTTCCCGAGATTTTGTTTCGAAATACGAGCCACGAGTCGAGAGGGGAAGAAGAATAATGGTTGTGAAGACAATGATACTTGGCAGTTGGAACCATGTCAGATAAAATCAGATCAGCGGAAAAAACGAAAGAATTTTCTCTCGACTGAAGTCCGTTCAGAAATTTGTATTGCAAGAATCAGTCAGCCCTATAACCGTGTCCAGCAAAAGTCAAAATAAAGTATCATAGTAGTCAGGTTTAGAGTGTGGTAGAATTTGCGGGGAGGTGTCCCCTGCTATCTACTACCCCAGCATGCCCAGCCTAGGTAGATAATTTCAGGGAGTGTCGAGAAGAGGCTGAAATGAGGCGAGCGTTGATGTATAGGTATCTTTTGTTGGCGGTTGGCGGTTGGCGGTTGGCGGCTGGGCAAGCTGGCAAGCTGGCAATTTGGCAGTTTGCAACCATATCCGGACACAAGATAATCCAGGCCGAGACAACCAGCGGTCCAAACAACATGACATATCATTGCCGGAGGCTCCACGGTGCCTGGTACCTTAGGGACGCGGGGCAACTAGGCCCAACACGGCTAGGGCCGGAGGTGGTGAGAGTGTTTGTGGTAGTAGCGAGTGAGACCTACGCCGGCTGCCCCTTCCTGTTTCGCAGCGCCCCGTCTCGCGGTTCCCCTGTGTGTGCCTGCGGCGAGTCTGTGGGCGAGGCTCCTCCCCTCCTGCCTGGCCGGGCTAGTCTGTCTCTCTTTTCCATCGCATCCAAACCTCATCTTCAACTTTAACTTTAACTTCACCTCCTCTCCATGTCTATCCACTCTACACGCCCACCGCCACGTAACACCTCTTCATCTAAACGGCTTGCTTTCAACGGTTCCAAGTCTCGCTTTGACCCCTGATAACGCGTTGTCTTATTTTATTATCCTAACTTAACCCTCTCCCACTCTCCCGCTCTCCCACTCTTCCACTCTTCCCACCCTGGGTACCCAACAATGCCCGAATGTACCCTCTCTGGGAATACCGTCGCGGTGTTGCCGCCATCCTTCATTCTGACCTCACACTGAACCTGGTGTAGTTGGTCCTCAAAAGACACACTCTGTGTGCCCCTTTGATTTATATTATCCGTTGTACTGTACTGTGTTCCGCGTTGAAAATCTATCGCCATGGCCATATGGCCCTTTGGCCGCCGTAGGAAGCGGCCCCGAAAGGCTGCGGATAACGAGGCTTTTTCGGGTTCTGCAGCACCTGCTGGCGGTGATGCTCTGGTACATGTACTCTCTCGTGGCTTTGGCGGCCATGGCTCCCATCAACATCAACCTAATTCCCATAGTTCCATCTCGGGCTCTGGAAAAGCTACCAGGAGAGGCAGCAAGCGGAGGAAACGAAATAATATCCCCCCTACAACAGCTTATGATCTACACCACCGTAACGACAACGACACTGTCCGTCTGACTGATTTACCTCCCGGTGCCATGTCCATCGCTTCCGCTCGCTTCCATCGTCAACCTGCTTCGGTTGATTCTTCTCTCTCGAGGAACTTTGCCTTATCGCCCTCCAACTATCACTACTCCCCAAGCACCGCCTCGCAGACGAGCCTTGGACAAGCTGCTCCAACACTACACGGGTCGCCGGACCAGCACCGAAGCTACCATATTCAAACTGAAACCTTCAAAATGCAGACGGAATGATTATTCGAGGGAGTTGGAAATTAAAATTATGACCAGCCACGTGACTGTCCTACGACGACCTTCTATTGTGTCCCCTCCCCTGGAGTGGTGGGAGTCCCACAAGCGAGGGACGAGAAACATAAAACTGCTCATGGGCCGGTATCTTCCCAAGTCTCTCTACACGTTGATTCGGGTCGAAGCTCCCCCTTTGATATGGAGTCATGTGCATTCAAAATCAGCTCTTTCGCGGCTTTGACACCGCGGCCAATTCTGAGATATGCGGAACAACCGCGGTACGGACTGGCGACAAGGGGTCATTCTCGAGCATCCACAAAGAAAGACTGGAGACAGGTTATCCCGGCGGAAGATCTTACACGTATATCCCGCATCCACGATCTAGCAGATGATATGGATGCTAGTGCTTTGAAAGAGCTGATGGAAAGAGATCGCCGACGAAAGGAAATGAAGCGGCTAGCTGACCAACAGAAGCTTCAGAGAAAACTACAAAGAAGAGCAGACTTTCAGCGTGAACATGAACGACGCAATCCTCCAGTACCATCGCAACTTGCAACTTCAGGAGATGGCGTTGGGCTCCCTGCTAGTCGTGTACATGGTGCTACCGAAAAGATTGGTGTGACTCTTTCAAGCCGTATTGCAAATGCCGTGAAGGCCACTGCTTCTTCAGAGTCATGGCTACGAGACCCATCCAAGGAAAGTCTACACGATACACCCTCTCGTCCGAAGGACCAAACCTTGTCAAGGGTAAATGGAAGTTCTGCTGTATGTTGCTCGCCGCGAGGGCGTTCAAGTAACATCAGCCGCGATATTAGCATGTCGGGGATGAGTTGTCAGCATTCTATTGAGCTAAGCCACGGGGCCAAAGCCGCGGACAAACTAGGTGCTTCTCAGGCCCCAGAGACCGCACGAGGATCGGCAGGAGATATGCCTACACAGAATTCTGAACTCGAGAAGGGTCATTCCGATAGCGCTGGAAAGCTTTCAACCTCGTGGACTGCCTTCTTCCGACGGGGGGGTTCTCGATTTCGACGGCCAAATGCGGAGCGGACAAAGACACCATCAGAGTTTTCAATCCCATCCAGAGAATCGTTTCAAAGAATCAACCAGCAGCCAGCATCAGCGCAACCCATTCCGATTCCGGACCGAAGCTACTTGCGCCCCAAAATGCCTCCTCGATCCCAGTCCAAATTTACAGAACATTTTACCGAGCCAATTACTAAATTCCCACCTCCTCCCGGGCGCGATTTTCAATCGTCAAGCGACCCTCAGCTTTCGTCTGCCGCTGTTGGATTACCCATTGCGGGTATTACTGCTAATAATGAGCATTACAACGTGGACAGGGATTCTGCCGTTGTTACGTTTGAACAGTGTGACTGCAACCGTTCATCTGGGGCCGGCAGCCCAGAAACCAATGCTGAGAGCATCTTTCTCGCCCACTCACTCGCCTCTATAAACTCTGAGGGTTCGTGGCTTTCCGGGAGACCCTCCCGGCGCCTCTCTCAGCCCCCGAAGAATTCAAGCAGCGCGAATTCCACTAAAGAGATTCTAGACGAGTATGAAGAATACAAGTATAGGGTTGATAACGATTATGACCCTCAACCACCTATCCCTTTAGAGGAAGCCGTCAATGAGAACGAAACGCTTCATGCCAGCGTCGGAAAACGCGCTCTTCTCGTCCGCCCAGACCACCGGCAATTCTCCAACAAGGACAATATCATCGTCGACGACAACCACAAGCACCTTTACATGGAAACAGAAGGAGTTTGAGCAGACACTAACTCCCCTAGCCCAGATAGCCCGCTCGAAGCCGACCCGGAACTCGGTCGCGCGACTAGTGTGGATCTAGGGAGACAACATGCTCGCCACATTAGTTCCGGAAGTGCAAAGCTTTTGGAGATTCCACGGCGGCCGTCGGAGGCTAAGCGGCTTAGTGTTGATTCTGCAGGGAGTGGTGCGTTGCCCAAAGACGCGTAACGCCGTGGTTGGGTTGAGTGAGCAGTGGTGGAAGGAGAGAAGTGTGGGATGGAAGGAGCTGATGGTGGAGATGATTGATGACAACGACGAAGAAGCATTGAAGGAGGAGAAGAAGAAGATCTTCTCGAACTGAATTATCAGGCAAGCCCGCCCGCATTCCTTTAGTTTTGGTTTTATATTTTTCCTTGGTGCGATATTTTTCGGAGAATGGATTATACACAATAGTGTTGTCACTAAAATGAAAAAAAAAAAAAAAAAAAAATGAAAAAAATGAAAAAATGAAAAAAGAATGGTAAAAAGAAAATGAAAAGAAAATGGAAAAAAGGCAAGAAAAAGAAGAAACAAAAAGAACCTATGAAAAAAAGGCGAGGAGGAAAAAACTCAACTTGTCAACAATGCCAAGGTTAACAGCAGACTGACCACACTCATTTATTATTTCCTTGAATCTCTCATTCCTCAACCACTTTTTCTTTTGTTATCTCTTCACTTCCAACTCCATACACTATTTTGGGCTTTGTCATGATAATTCAGGTGGAGAATCACACTTTTTCATCTATTTATCTTTGCTTTTCATGAAATTTACAAATGATTCATCTTTCACATGAAAATGTCTTTTTGCTACACTTGCATCATTTATACATTATCACTTCTTCTATCAAGTCTGCATAATTAGACTTTGTTTGACACTTTCTCTACAATTCTGTCTGTTTTCTGATTCTGCTCTCAAGTATTTTGCTTTGATTATTGATTCTTTCTGTTCTCACCCTTGTCTCATTTTCACTCTGGTTCTTTACTTCTGTGCGGATTTCACTACTATTCCCCATCCTGTTTTTTTTTTTTTGAGGGGGGGGAGGGGTTAAGTTCTTTCAGTGTGTGTCTTTCTTGATTTACTTCTTTCAGAAATTGGGGGAAAGGGAAATAGCCGTAGCAGTAGTGTAGTGGCTTGTTATTTGGAATAGGGAAGGGATATTTGAATATTAGGGAAACTGAGAATGGAAATGGAAATGGATTAGATCTGAAGCGGAAGAAAATGACTAGAATGGGCATTCTCTCTCAAGGATATTTGATTTACTTCATTGTTGTATTTATAATAAAAGAGTCTGTCTGCTCGAAGGCTCTTCATCACCATCAAATCATTAAGGTGTGGCGCACGCAAGTACAGTACAGTACGGTGCGTAATAACACCATACCCAGCCTGGCATGTATCTCCGATGTCACGCGCGGTTCTGTTTACCACCAAACGCGACCTATTATTATTTATTTTTATTTTCAAGAATGTATTTTCTATTTTCTTCTCTTTTCCCTCTTGATCGAAGCTCAATCAATCAAATCAATTAAACAAAATCATCACTGTGATTTCAAATCGAAGAACCCGAGACAACTCCGGTATAAACAACGCAACGCCCCTGCTATTATAACTAACTACCTACCATTGTTATGATTACACACACACCTGCTACCGGCAACACCACGAACGCAGTTAACTAAAAGAATTGCGAAATCCTCTCTGTCTCTCTCTCCGTCCCCCGTTCGCATCGGTCGGCAGCACCCGAGATACTCCGGTTCCTCGCACTTCTCCGACATCCCGAATCATAAATATAAATATGGGGAAGCCAGTCGATTGATTTGGAATCATCCTGGCTCACAATTTGGAAAATTAAAAATAAAATATAATAAAATATAATAAAAATAATAAAAATAATAAAATATATATAAAAAAAATAAAATAAAGAAGAAAGAAAGAAAATACAAAATACAAAAAATAAAATTAAAATTAAAAATAAAGAAAAAAATTAAAATTAAAATTAAAACTAAAAACCAAAAAACCAAAAAACCAAAAAACAAGAAGACAAGGGGGGCGGCTGTGAATCCAAAGATTAATAAAAATATTACAATTTCCATATAAGTGGTTAACCCAGCAAACAGCAACAGGATGCTCCCGAAGACGTCATCGCGGGCTCTCTTTCTGCACACAATTCAACATCATCAACCACGCCAACCCCTCTTCACCACTTCCACTTCCACTTCCACTTCCATTTCCACCTCCATTTCCACTTCCACTCTCACCACCACCACCACCACCACCACCACCACCACTCCTCCTCCTCCTTCCGCCCCACTACGCCTATATAACTCGCTCCGCCCCTTGTCGTTCTTCCTGCGCACGACATCTACCTCCACAGCATCAGCCTCTGCTTCCTCGCTGAGTACCAATCGCTCCTTCACCTCTTCCGCCCGTGCCAGCTTTAGACCTACCGCCGGCACCATGGTTGTTCATAATCTGAAAGAGTGAGTGTGGTTTTTATTTATTTATTTATTTATGGTTGTGGTTGTGGTTGTGGTTAATAGTTATCCACTCCCATCCCATCCCCATCCCATCATCCCATCATCCCATCACTCCATCTCATCCCAACCGAAAAAAAAAAAAAAAAAAAAAAGGAAATACAAGGAAATATACAACTAACCCCCCCAAACAGCCGCGCCTCCTTCGACTCCGCCGTCGCAACAACCACCCCCGCCAGCACCGCCAGCACCGGCCAGCCCCCCAAACCGCTAATCGTCGTCGACTGCTACGCCACCTGGTGCGGCCCCTGCAAAGCCATCGCCCCCAAACTCGTCGAGTTCTCCGACACATACCCAAACGTTGGCTTCTACAAGGTCGACGTCGACGAGTGCCCGGACATCGCGCAGGAGCTGGGCGTGCGCGCCATGCCGACCTTCATCTTCTTCAAGGACGGCCAGAAGGTGGATGAGGTGCTCGGGGCGATGCCCGCGGCGATTCTGGCGGCCATTAATAAGCATGTTTCGTCGTGAGTGTGTGAGTGTTTGGGGGTGGAGGGGAAAAAGGAGGGAGGTTGAATGGTATATTCTGGTTTTGGCTGCTTTTTGCCTTTTTTTTTTTTTTTTTTTTTTTTTTGTATACTTAGTATGGAATGGTTTCCCGGTGAGGGATTGGGAATGGGAAATGTGGTAAATTACATATGATATAAAAAAAAAAAAACCGGAGACAGAAGAAAATAACAAGGATGTGATTTGATTTTAATATCTTGAATATGAATGATAGATATTTGTATTAATCAGAAAAGGGAAGAAATGAGTGAATCATATTTAAAACAGTGATTTCTTATATACTATAACTACTGTGTTGTATCATATGAGTATTCTAGATTCACTCTTTTTAACTAAAGAATTGCTGATGAGATTGAAGACTGAGATTAACTATTAAAAGAATGAAGAGCACTTGAAAATTAAGTTATTACTTGAATTTTACACTTTCACTTTATTCTTTTCTTTCAATGTTATCTACTTTCTGATGAAGATGATGATGAAGATGAATGATTTGATTGATTGTTATTCTAATCTGATCAACAGTGCATTCTATATTAGTCATGTAGCAGTGTATCATAACTAACTATTATACAGCCAATGTATAAGAGTAAAACTCACCCCTCTTTACTTCATCTAATGACTGTAGAATGAAGGAAAAATGAGAAAAAGAAGAGAAAAGAAAGAAAAGAATATAATATCACTCTCTGAGTAGTTAGGTTTTACATTTACTATATCTCTATGAACTGCATCACACACCTGGAACAGACAGAGAGAGACAAAAAAAAAAAAAAAAGAAAAAAAAAATTGATGAGAAGTACCTAAATCACAAGCTAAACTAAACAAAACACAAAGAGGTACATGGAACAGCTTTCCCAAGACATGCATGCATTACCCTGAAAATGATGATGAAATGTACAGAAGATATGTATAGAAAAAAAAAAAAAAAAAATAGGGGGGGAGAAGGGGAATGTGATGATTGATGCAGTTTGACATGGTTTGGACAGGGACAGAAGGGGGATAAGAGGAAGAGACAGTAGGCAGAGGGTATTAAAAAAGAAAAGTGAAAACAAAACATGTTATAAGAGATTTAAACACCAGACTGGGGAACCAAACATGAACATAGCGATCATCAAAAAAAAAAAAAAAAAAAAAAAAAAAAAAAAAAAAAAAAAAAAAGGAACAAAAAATGTATGGAAACAAAAAACCGCTCTCCATGTATGTGTATGGTCTGTTTATGATGGTGTATGGGTTTGTATCGGGGAGTGTAAGCGGGCGACGGAGATTTTGTGTATCCATCCGCCAAAAAAGGCAAAGAAAAGAAAAGAAAAGACACAATGCGACGCCAATGCGATGATGATGATGATGAGCTAGTAGTTCAAACAAATGCGTAAAATGGAAAGACATATAAAAAAAAGTGGAAACCTCGGAGCGTGGGAGTGTGTGTATGCATAAGAGGGATGGAGGGATACAAAAAGCGCAAGGAAAAAATTGAAAAAACTTCGTGGGACCATTATGCAGGAAAATAGAAATTATCACCGCAATGATGAAAACTCCGCGCTGAGAGATAAGATGGAATAGGATGAGATGGGAGGCAGGTGACGAGGCGGAAAGGGGTGGTGGGGGATGGGATAGCGGAAAGTGGCAAGGGAAAGATGAAAGGGATATAACAAATCGTTCAATATAGCGCCGTCATTAAGAAAGGTGGAGACGGTGGGAGGTGGGAGAGGGAGAAGATAAATGGAGTAGGTGGACTTGCGACATGGGAGGATAGGATAGGATAAAGGGAGCCACGGCGATAAATGCTTAAGCGGTAATGTATGATGGCACTGTGAGATGTGCCACGTGAAGGTAATATCCGGAGGTTGTTTATTGATGAAATTTCAAGCGGTCTTAGTTGTATGTATGTAATGTATGTACGGATGGATGCTGGTATGTATGGATGTGTGTAGCGTTGTTTTATGTAAGTTGCTCGGGTCCGTAGGTCTCATTCGTCGTCGTCGTCTTGATAGTCGCTGTCATTGTCATCGTCACCATCACTACTATCATCCTCATCATCATATTCATCATCATATTCATCATCGGTATCATCGTCTTTAGGGTTCGTAGCCTCCGAGCCTTGACTGGCACTAGGCGATAAGGTCCCGTCACTACTTAGGTTGCCATCTCGATCATTATCATCCTTTTCGATCGATTTCACCACGGTGACGTTGGTCTGATTCTGCTTGATGTGGTGTTTTCCCACGACAGGTTCGGCACTCAGATTGCGTGTGCTTGTGCCAGTATGGCCGTGGAAATTAACACGCTCAGTGTTAACATCGTCATTTCGGGTTTTATCATTCTGGTGGTCGTCACTTCGATTGGGGTTGTTGCATTTTTCGAGCTCATTGTCATCATTGTCATTGTCATTCTTAACTCCAACTGCAAAGACCTCACCGAGATCCCCGAGGATATCAACTGTGACATCCTCCAGCATACGACGTTTTGGACACCTGCCACGGCAACGGCGGGTAGGGGGTAAGATAATGCCATCTTCGTCGTCTAGGTCGCTGTCGTTTGCGGACCGTTTGCTTCTCACGCTATGGCGAGAAGAGGAGCGCGAGGAAGAATCCCAGCCAACTCCGGAGGATGGACTCATTGTCGATGATTTGGAGTAGTAGCCGCTACTGCGAGCAGGAAGGGGAGGGTTTGTAGTTGTGTAAGGGATTGGTGATCTGGGTGAGGAGCGGCTCTCGTTCTCGACTGATTTGTTAAGAGTGACAGGGAGTTTGGGGTTACGCTCTTCAATCATGGTGGTGAATGGCCCGTCATCCTCTGCTGGGACTTCATCTCGTCCGATGAGGGCTATCATCCAGTGCATATCAGCTGGATTAATGGTGGGGGCACTTGGGAACTCTGTCGGAGCAATCTCCGACTTAATTTCTTCGTCAATCTTCGGATGTTTGCGTTGGGCTTCTCTGTAGATAATATCTGCCCCCCGAAGTCGAGCTGAGAGCTTTGGATGACCAAAATGGGGTCCATCGAGATTCCGTACTGAGGAATAGTGTTGGAACGCCTGGAGAAATGTCAGTAAACATGATATACCTGAAGCTGGGAATGTGGGCGTTGGCATACATGAAAAGCTAGATGTATAACCTCCCGGTTGGGATCTGCCTCAGCAAAGGAGCTTTGGAATCTCTGAACTCCGTCCTTTGAATATAGCAGCACATCCAGGCCATAGGCTTGGCAAAAGGCTTGGATTTCAGGGGCGCCACCCCAAGAATTCTTTTCCGCCATCTCGTCAAGCTGGAGTGTAAACTTAGTTGCTTGCCCTTCTGCAGTAGCAACTCTGTCTACATTGGCATAACCTAGGCGGGCAGCTTGAGCAGCGCTCCTTCTGGGAGCTCGACGCTCTCCGCCTACATCGGCGGTAAAGTGTACGAAGTAGTCGGCGTTGTCCCGCATATGTTGGACCAAACGTGCTCGGATTTTAATGTGGCTCTCGACATCTCCATACAACTGGTCTGAGAGGGAGTAGAAGAGGCAATTTCCTAAAGAGTAAATCCACATACATTAGCCATCTATCCGATGTTGTCTGGCTTATATATAGCTGGGATAACGGAACAAGAAGAACAAAAAAAAAAAAAAAAAAAAAAAAAGTTAAAAGCAGAACTCACCATCGCCCAAGACGGGCATAGCATACAGCTTGAAGTAATCAAGACATTCCAACTTGAGACTGTCCTTGGTAGGCATCCCGGCCATAGCCATCTCTATATGCTTTTTCATGGCCCTGTCTTCAGGAGAACGCTTCCTGGTACTTGCGGGACCAGCCGAGGCGGATTTGCTTCGTGCCATAATCGGGACGACTCTGGGGTTTGAGGGTGGTTTAAGGTAAGCCATGGTTGCAATATATTGGTTTTTAGGTTCTTCATCTGGTAGTGGTTCTGTCTTCAAGTTTCTGTGATTTTGTGCCCGTTTGCGGGGGGATCGGGCAGGCGGGGCGATTGGAGTGAAGCGGAGAGATATGTATCAAGAAGAAGTGAAGTATTTCGGAGGATCAAAGTGGCTGGTGGGGGGTAGAGATATAGACAAGAGTAGGAATAGTGGAGATAAGTGAATAATGAGTTTTCATATATGTAGAGCTGAGTGTGGTGGTTGGGTTGTTGGCAACGCAGATAAAGACTCGTGAATAATATAGGTGATGGTGGAAGCGGAAGCTTTAGTAGTTCCTTAACGAGATCGGGGGTGTCAAGTTACAGTCCCACCACCGCTTCAAAACCCGCAGATAAAGACCACGGGAGTTCAATGGAGGCAGAAGAGCAACAAATCAAGGGCAATAGAGATTTATAGCGAGTTAGAGCGAGATCAGTGGTGCAGATGTCGAGCGAAAGGTGGTGGTGATAGATATGTAGCTATGGAGTTAGTCCTCGCTTCTCTCTATCTAAAGCCGCGACATCATCGCCGGCCGTGGGCTCGGGGCGCCAAGATGCCAAGTCACGTGGATTTCTCCTATTTTTATGACGTCAATCCAGGCACAATCCAGAGTTTGCTCTGCACACTTTAAATCAACACGCGCTGGCCTATGAAGCTTCGGAGTACCGAACCTTAACGTCGAGACTTGAAACCTTGCTGAAAACCATATATACTGCGGCAGTTCCAAGTTCGTCGGGAAAAGATACATTCAACGCTCTTAACGCTATTGTAGAACGATATATGACGGGGCAAAAATGCCCTGCGTTTCCCATTTTCTAACCATGCCCAACTTAAACATGAAAGTATCACCTGAACTAACTCACAAGACGCTGCCAGTACTGAAACTACTCTGGATAAGGATGGCGATTACTGCAAATGCTATCTACGGCGGATCCCTCGGATTGGCAAAGCTCGTGCACAGAGACAATTTCAACATGATGCACGAGAAAGGCACTCTTGCCTCTTGCCGCTCGCTTCAAGCTTTCATCTCCATGCGCCCTAAAACTGCGTTGCAACGGATACGGCACTTCAACCACCCCGCCTAGTAGAGTTTGCCCGCTGGATCTAGAATGTCTCAAGAAGCTGAAATCATTCGCCTGCTTCAGGAAGAAGGTAGGCTTCGGGAAGAAGGCAGGAAATGCATGAAGATATTGAGCATTATTTTAGGCCTGCAAACTACCATACAGATATACAGATCAAACCGGCCGGCCAGCTATTAAATTTTTGAGTTTGTAACGGTGCGCAAGGAGCCAACCGTCTTATGGTCTTTTTTGGCCCAGTAGTTAGGAGCCCGGAGCCTGACAGGCTCTAAGCCATGACAGAGTTTCTTGATACCTGCCATACCTGTCTCTTTCTGGTCCCACCGTTGGCGAGCTCAACGCTTCTCATCAAAAGCACCTGGCAAACTTCACTCAAGATAAAGTTTTGTGGGTGGTTGAGTTCTGCTGAGGAACAAGAGAAAACCTAGAATGAGCCCCATGAGGGTTTGATGATTCGCAGCGAAAAGGCTATGTATTCATCTAGCACAGATTTGTATGTTGTTCGTTTTCTCCGTACCATCTAGCTCCAAGAAGCTAAACTCGTGGAACAAAAGAGTGGCAATACATTGCTTATGAGGTGATAACCATAGATCTTGACTCTCAAAGGGCTATTGTGAAAGTTCATACACCATGACTTCTTCATGTAGCTCCATCACATCCGTGCTTCACAAGTCTGAAAAGTTTAGTGACATCCTCTCTTCAAGAGAGCTGTGCCAGGCAAATTCTGATGACAAGGTTATATTCAGTGCTGCTGCTCCGTAGCATAGAGTCCGGCTGTGGCCAACGTAATCAAAACTGGACATTGGTGAGAGTTGAAGCCTTGATACCTATGTGAAATTTTCGTGGCAAATGTTGAACCTCATCAAGAGAAAGCGACCTATACCATGCGTCGTTGACACTTTAACTCAAGCATCGGCATATCGCAGCCTCAGCAGAAGAAAATCATCAAAGAAGCAATGACTCGAATGATTCCCATCTCTTTTATCTTCCTTACTTCAAGAGTTTGATTCGAGTTTTGCCCGAGATATCCTTCTCAAACAGCCCTCGATTAGAAGAAGCCCTTCTGTTGAAGAACAGTCTCATCTAACATAACTTCCCGTGAGTTTCGCCCGGGCCCGTTCAAGCTAGCATTCGGCCTCTGAAGGCCCCTTTAGGCTATTCATTAGCTTGTGTGCCCAAAGCTTGATAAGCCCATCCATGTCGATTAGTGACCGCTTCAAAGGATGATTGGGTTTGATAGAATGAATGTCTGGCTTCCCCTTGCCGGAGGGATCTGATAGCTCACTAGGAGTTAGGACGAACAGCCTCCCGTCATCATGCATCTGAAATGCAGGTAATTGCCCCGCTCCCCTTTCGTTTGTTCGACAGGGAGCTATTTTCACCGGAGGGTGAAGGGCCATGTGATTTTTATGCTATTGAACAGTACAAATGGGGTTCCACGACCAATTCTGGTGGTCCAAGGAGTAAAAGAATGTCCAAGAGTAAAAACATGCATTCCCCATATATACTATAAGAGGAAATGAGCTTGCTAAAGCTTTCGAATCTGTCTCGTCAGTGCACATTAGCACCCGATAGGGCGAAATTGGGGCCGGGTTAGGGTTGGTTAAGGGGTGGGCCTGAGAAGTACTGGTATGAAGGAACATGACACCTTCTTCAAGAGAAGTGGATGTATAAAATATGACCAGCGAAGGTCGAATATTTGCAATCTAGATAGAAATGTAGCTATTGCGGTAGCTGTTATGTAGCTTCCTTGTGTGAGGAAGTGCCGAATTACGTAGCGTAGAGCGCAGGGAGTTAGTTACTGATTGTGCAGTTCGGCTCTGCTGTAGTTACTGTAACTACTTCGGATGAATACCAGGGGATATAGAATTAGCAACCAGACCGGCTCCATGGTTAAATAACCTATTCCTAGACTGGCAAGACCAGTTGCTTCAATATATCCTTGGACCCCTTTTTTTATTTTATTTTTGGAATTAATTCAAGAATTGCCGAGCGTTGCAGCGAATATGCGCGACCCCACTCGGTGCCAGTAGAACGGCCGAAACACGGCTCTCCGTAACAGCCCAGTCCACGCCATATCCGATATATTATTTTATTACTATTATTACATCGACTCTACGATTCTGTTCCTGTAACCTCCCATTGGCCTAAGGACAACTGAGCATTCACTTCCTCACAGTTTTCACCTAGCAGTACGTAGTGGTTAGTGTACGGTACATACAAGTGCGACATGGCATCACACAAGATCGTGGTGCTTGGGTTAGTTGTTTGAACACGCCCTTCCATCTTCCCCCCGAAACGCACGCCCTGATTACAACCGCTGACCTATCTGTTCTGCTTTTTTTTATTTATATCCTCCATCCAGGGCTGGCGTGACGGGTCTTACTACCGCCCTCTTGCTCTCCCGAGATGCCTCCAATCAGATCACCGTTGCCGCAAAACATATGCCGGGGGATTATGATATCGAGTACTGTTCGCCATGGGCTGGCGCAAACTACCTCCCGTACGTTTTATATATTTTTTATGCTTTTTGGCCTGTTTTCCATTCAATGTCGTGTCCAATGAGAACCACTTCTTGATTTATTTTCGTTAATTGATATATATATATATATATCTCTCTATATAGGGTCGGGCTGCCCGGTACTACCCATGCCGAATGGGAGAAGAATACATGGCCTGTTTTGGCGGATTTGGCGAAAAATGACCCGAGTGCCGGCATTCATTTCCAACGTGGGTTTTCATTTTTATTTTTTATTTTAGAATTCCTCTTGTAGAGAATGATTGTTTGTTTTTTGGTGACTGGGTAGGTTGTTATTTTCTTTCTGCTCACAGAAACTAACTCTTTAGAAATAACGGGTCGATGTAGGGACGGTAATAAACACTCGTGATAAGGACGCAAAGTCCACTACCGGCCAGTGGTTCTCTGAACTGTCAAGATCAAACCCGTGGTTCAAAGACGTCGTCCCGGATGTATGTACTAGCCAGTTCCTTTTTCTTTCTGACCAGGTTACCCTCGTAAATCCCCTTTGTGTGAAATCCTTGGAAAGCTTGCGGTTGTACATTACATACATTTACATGTATATTGACAGGAAGAATAATACTGAACTATATAATAGTTCTATCTCCTCCCTAAGGAAGAACTAGGCCCCGGCGTCGACTACGCTACCTCATTCACCTCTGTCTGCATCAACACGGGCGTCTACCTCCCTTGGCTAGTCTCCCAATGCCTCAAGAATGGCGTCGTGTTCAAGCGCGCTGTCTTCAAGCATATCGCCGATGCGGCATCCGTGCACCACTCGGGCAAGAAGGCGGATCTTGTCGTGAACTGCACAGGCCTCGCGTCGCGGAACCTGGGCGGGGTTGAGGATATGAAGTTACTGCCCGCCCGCGGCCAGATTGTTGTTGTCAGGAATGACCCGGGGATCATGACGTCGATTTCGGGGTCGGATGATGGTGATGATGAGGTTTGTTATATTATGAAGAGGGCTGCTGGTTAGTGGATTCCTTTCCTTCCCCCCCCTTGTTTTTTCTTTCTTAATCTGGGATTCTTCCCCTTCTTTTATCTTTTCCTGAACTATATATATCTACATCTACGTACCCTTGACTTACCTGCGTTTTCTTCTTACAGGCGGCGGCACAATCCTCGGCGGCACCTATCAAAAGGGCAACTGGGAATCCCAACCAGACCCATCCACAGCCGTGCGCATCATGAAGAGATGCGTGGAGCTCTGCCCGGACCTTGTTGGTAAAGACGAAAACGGCAAGGATCGCGGTATCGAAGGATTAGATATCATCCGGCACGGCGTTGGTTTGCGGCCGTTGCGGGACGGAGGGGTGAGGATGGAGACGGAAACGATTGGGGGTGTTACTGTTGTCCATAACTATGGGCATGGTGGGTTTGGGTATCAGGCTTCCTGGGGTTGTTCGGCGGCAGCGGTAGAGATGGTTAGGGAGGCGTTGGGGAAGAAGGGGATGGGGATGGGGATGGGGAGGGCGAAGTTGTAGGGTTTATTTATTGTGTTTGAGTTGGGTGAATGTGTTTTTTGGATGATATATACTTGCTTTCTCGCTCTGTTACCCGTTCTTCTTGGGATATATTTTATAGATGTGAAGGCAACGGCATCTACTACTCTGTTTTCTTGTACTATACTAGGTTGTCATTTCGCACCCACTCACAGCCCATATTCGTGGACCTCGTAGGTGGAGGATGAGCAGTTTCAGCAAAATATGACAAGGGAGCGAAAATTGGTAGTGATAGAAACAAAGAATCTGATACATTGAGTCAGATCCAGGCAAATATAACGCCTAGGCAATTGGGTGTCAAGTAGCCATTCTTTTGTTGAGCAGCGAGAGCCTGAAGTCGAGGCTCCCACCCGTTTGGCTTGGCCCCTTGGTGCAAAACAACCTCGTTCCTTCAAACCTCGAGACATGAGAGACGTTCAAAACTGCTTCTACCTTCAACTTAATTATTACTTCGTATACTTATGCGATAACAAAGCCGTGCTAGAAAGGCTCTACGGGTTGCCCAGAGCTCGGGGTAAATGCCGGTTGAGGCTAGTCCCCGCATTACTAAATAGTTACCACAGTGCGCTCTTCATCCTAAGTCCTAAGTTACCTCTTCATCCTGAATTACCATCGGCTCACCAACGATCTCAATGAAAGCCGAATGGTAGCATTATTATATCATGCGCCAAACGCCCTTTAGGAACTTTTCCTCGGCTCGTTGCGTTGAGCCTATAAGCCCGCTGAGTGTTAGCATCCGAGCTCGAGCTGGCTGATACCATTGTTCCCGAATCAGCCCATACATAGTTTTACTCTACAGACGAAGATGTGTGAAAATCAGCACTAAGCTTCCTGCAATGAGAGGTTACGGGTTTTTCGGCGCGCGCTACTGCCTATGCTATGTGAGGGACAGTTCAAGCTAAATCCCCTGAGCCTGCAGCCGCTGGCCATTGGGCGGCGGATTTAATTGCGCTTTTCATCCTAGCTCTACGGCCCTATACTGGAGACAATAGGGGTAGGATATGCTCCGTTTAATAAGTGGTTGTTATATATTATGGTAAAGCTGCAACGCTGGGAAAGGAAATATGGGCGTTGGTGGTCCTTTTATGTTCGTTTTCCTGGATCTTTTCTATTTATTACTGTGTTCAATGCCCCTTTCAATTGAACGATGATACACATTCTCTCCCTTGCCGCGGTACTGGCATACTATGCCAGTACCTCAATCGCACTCTCTACGTGTGAGAAGCTTTCGCTGATATCAAATGTCGAGATCAAGAAGAAATTGACGATACCGTATGCAGAAGAACAACGGGAATACTGGTATGGTTGACGTGAACCTGGCTGTTCGATGCTCCACATGTATTTGTACTCTACGACTTAACAACCAATCTAATTGTTCCCAGGTCGGCAGAGTGCGGGAGACTCAAACCTTCGTGCATACTGGTGCCTGAATCGCCAGAGGAGCTATCGATGATTGTGAAAACGCTCGGGGAGAATAATGAGACCTTTGCTGTAAAGAGTGGCGGCCACAACCCTAATCGCAACTTCTCGAGCGTTGTTGGCGGCCCTCTTATTAGCCTGAAGGGTTTCAACGAGATCAACTACGATGAAGCGTCGGGTACGGTGAGAGTTGGTGCTGGTAACCGCTGGACTGATGTTGTCAAGGTCCTTGAACCCAATGGTGTAACTGCCGTCGGAGGTCGTGTCGGACATGTCGGCGTGGGTGGGTATATTTTGGGAGGTAGGTATTTTCATATCTTAGTGTGTTTGAACGCAGAATTTGAGTGAATTTCGAAACTGAGGCTATTTACTTATTTAGGCGGATTGAGCTACCTGAGCACGCAAACTGGTTGGACTATGAACACTGTTGTTGAGTTCGATGTTGTTCTCGCAAACGGTGAAATTGTCAAGGCAACAAGCTCTGAGAATGTTGACCTTTTCAACGTCCTCCGTGGTGGTGGAAATGCATACGGAATTGTCACGACATATACCCTAAAAGCACATAAAATTGGAAAAGTAAGTTGAAGTTGCCGTATAAAAAGGGTTTCGGTAACTAACAGAAACCGCATATAGGTTTGGGGTGGGAACCTGATAATCGGTTTTGATAAGACAAATGAAGTCCTGGCTGCCGTGCGAGATTTCACAGAGTACTATCCAGATGACAAGGCTGCCATAATTGCTACCCACAACATCGGTGTCGCAGATCTGTTGGATGTCTGGTTGATACTACTCTTCTACGATGGCGAGACTCCCCCTCCCGGAACATTCGACAACTTCACCGACATTGGTCCAACCCTCAACACGGCCAAAACCCAAAAATATTCAGCTTTAGTGAGTGCCCAAGACGAACTTGTCATCAACGGCAAGATAGTCGACATGGCAGTCGAACACTCTCCACTCCCTTGCGCCGCCAACCCGGAAATCATGCAGTCCATCAACAACCACTTTGAAACTGTCACAAAGAAGAATAAACTAGTCCCCGGTCTAATGGGCACTTTATCCCTACAACCAATCCCTAAGCGTCTGGCCCGCCATGCCAAGGAGAATGGAGGCGACCTACTCGATCTCGACGACTCTGTCGATAGGCTGTTGATAGAGCTTAACTATTCGTATACTTGCCCATCATATGTGCCTCAGATCGAGCGTGCGCTGAAGGCTATCACGGACGCTGTCCGCAAGGATACCCTAGATCGGATTAGAGAGGGGACGCTGCCCGATGCGTATCTGCCCCTTTTTATGAATGATGCAAACCATGCGCAGGATTATTTTGGTCGGCTGCGGCCTGAGACGTTGGAGTATGCGAAGAGGATAAGGGACATATATGATCCCCAAGGCTTATTCCGTGATCGGACGGGAGGGTTCAAGATGTGAATGAGGGTCGTAAATATTCGTGCCGTGGATCCCCCTGCCGTCGAGGATTCCTTTTTCGATTTTCGTAAATATAGATATGTGTCTCTTTTGAAAGCATGCAATCCAAGCTTAAAAATGTAGTTTTATAAAATATATTATTCACATAATTACTATCCCAGTTTGATCAAACAAAAATCCCCTATTATCTATCTGATCCCGCGCCAAGAACAAGCGCCAAGGCGCGATGCCCTTAGCCTGTTTTGATCCCCAACAACAACAACATCCGTATAGGATCTCTGGGAACATGCTGTTATTTTTTACTCGGCGCATTAGTTATTATTGCAGTTGTCAACCGATATTGTAACGGGGTCCTCATACCGTCATCGCCTTTGCTCTCCTTACGACATTCGGCTCCCTTATAAGTTACTCCTTACCGTGCGCGCCACATAGTTACAGAAACCCAAAAGCAAACACCCAAGCTCCGCTCTCCTTCTCCAGCCACATATTACGTACGTTTCGAATGAAAGTGATGATTTAAACTTTGTCGCTGCTACCTACGCCAGCCGCAGAAACAGCTCGACAGCTTCTTAGGCTGTGACATTTCGGTAAAACCTTTTTCTTGAATAAAAGCTTTTGCGCCGGGACTGCTTCCTCTACCTCCGTCCGCGCCTGAAAAGGAAGAAGCCATCGCGAAAGGGGACAAAAAGCGCAAACGCCGGAGCTCTTCTTTATATTATTAGGGAATTTTGATTGATTGATACGAAGAAAGGATGGACTTCTCCAATATCTTGTATGTGATATTTCCCGTCTTTAATTGCCTTCAATTTTCCACCTCCGATTCCGGGGATGCGGATTCTGTGGAGAAAATTAAAAGAAAACTTATCCCCTGTTGCGCTGTTATATTTCCGCAATCTCTACGTAGGGGTGACCGTCGCGGAAATAAGACGCGTAATGAGAACTTGGACAAATTTCACTGACGGTTCTTTCTACTTCATTTGTTACAGCCGCTTGATCAACCTGGGCATCGGGGCCATCATGGTCCTGGGCGGCGTCAGCCAGTTCTTCCCACCAAGCATGTAAGTACGAGCTACTTCCTCCCAATCCCTATCACTTATCCCAGGCCGAATGATTGGAAATGAATTCCCATTTCTCGCAATTGGTACTTTTGCGCGTTGTGGATCTGGGATTGAGAGGTGATGTTGTTTCGGAGAAGAGGAGGCAGTTGATATGCGAGCTTGCGGCTTCGCGGTCTATTGCGAATTGAGCACCGCGGAAAACGTTTGGCTAATGGAGATCCTGTCAAATTTTATTCGGTGATATAGAAGCAGCGTTGTCGTCGGTGTTTATGTGATTCTGTTCGGTTTGGGTGAGTTTCTCTTAGACCTTTTTATCTCTCCATGATTAAAACTTGGATTAAGCATCGCTGACGGCGGACCTCAACTCCACTTTCCACATATGTAGCCGTCGGTGCCCTTGAATTCGTCCCACATCCCCCATCATATCTCTCGCGACATGCATCCTTCCTTTTCTCCTTCATTGGACGGGGTATCTGTAAGTTATTACTTCCAAAAAAATCTCGTAAAGTAACCGTTAGTATCCAAAGACACCACAATAATCTAACCCGGGTCAACTTTTTCTCAGTCTACATTTTCGTCGGCTGCATCCTTATCGAGGGGAAAGTCCTACGAATCATTGCCGGCACCATCGTTGGCGTCGTCGGCCTCGGATACGTTGCCTTGGAATTTGTGCCGTCGATAGAACCCCCACCTACCATGCGCGAGGCGGATAGCACGTGGGGATCTGAGCAGGTTTAAAGAACGACAACGCAATTCGATAATTTGAACATATACCAGGAAGGGCGGAGAAGAGAAGGGAAGGCCGGCATATCGAGGAGTGGATATGTACTTTTGAGTCATGGTGTATAGGGGTGGGTGATGGTGATATGTGTGTGAGAGGGGGAAGGCGATGGTTTTAATACTGATCGCTTGCTGGGCTAAGCTGCAGCTCCTTTTATTTTATTTTTTTCACTTAAAACTGCTTCCGCTCAGCTGGCCCCCAAGCGGTAATTTATATACATATATACGGAGTACACATCTATTTTGTTTGAAATCTGTTTACCTTCTTTCTTCATTCCCATCCTCCTCTTTCCCTTCACCTTCGTTATTATGTTTTGCGAATATTTACGTTATTGACTTGAAATCCTTGCGAACAAACCCATTATCTATCTCGATGCCTATATTCTTCCTCTTCGTCTTCTACTACTTCTCACTTATATGCACGGGGCTTCCTGCGATTTATTCCTAGTATGAAAGGTTTATTTGTCCCTCTACGTTTCTCACCGCTTGATTTGAGCTTGGTCTGGTATCATTCATCCCCTTTCCTTTCTCGCTGTTTGGGCGGTTTCGCCCGGGCTGTGTCGCGTATAAAATGACAAAGTTCTATGGATGTACTTCTATTCTCAAGAAAGATTTTTGGTCCCCGACGGTAGCTCCAATCCCCTCCCCCGCCCTTCCACCGTGTATGCAGGCTGATGAGAGAAATATTAGAGCCTGATCGTCCTCTTGCTTCCTGGGCTTTGGCGTCGTCGCAACACAACACACACAGAGTTCTACGGCTAACGCAGTCCTTATCTCGGTTACCTACCATCATCGGGCTTGCTGTTCTGCTCTGCGAGAAAAAAAAAAAAAAAAAAAAAAAAAAAAAAAAAAAATTCCAGGCAGCGACGTTTCTCCACTGACATAAGTTAATCGCTGAATGCTTGTGTTGGCCGGCTGCGGCCGTTGTCGTGGCGATCTCAGAACAAGAGCCAAGGATTGGATGGCTACATGGCCCTTAGCTTCTTCCAGAACATAATGTGGAAGGTATGTGATCAACCACTATATTAAGCTCTTTGTAAATAGCTCTATTAATACAATCTTCAACTATTCTACAGATTATAATTTGAATGACATGTTTTGCTTTTTAAAATATTGTATTAATATTTTGATAAGAGTAGTTCATCTTTTTCAGAAAGACTTTTACGAGACATAGTCGGCTTAACAGTATCACAAAAATTGACACTAGTTTCTGAATGGACATGCTGATATTGAAAGCATGATCTCAAAGGAATATGATGAAATGGAAATAACTTTGTTGCTGATGACAAGTTGTGGAAATGAGTCTTGGAGTCACTGAACCAGGCCGGTCTTGTGTGATGTTGAGCTATTGCCTTTCTCAAATATACTCAGCATTGATGTTCTCAGCCTGCCCAGTTACATCATCTTTTACCTGGCAGTTTCACTTGTTGGTAATTCGATAATTTGAACTTTTTATAGGACAAACATACAATATGAAGTTGGGTGCTGGATGTCTCATTATCAATTGTACTGGTACGCCACTGGCTCTCTCTGGCTGCCAGATCAGCTCAGTAGATAAATAGATAGAGACAACAAAGCATACCACCCCTGCGACAGAAGTATAAATCTGCGGGAGGTGTGGGGAGTTGGTGGTTGTGGCCTCCTTTTTGGCATTTTTAACGTACACTTTGAGCCAGAGTAGTTGCTCTTACGAGAGAGCGCTCAAAATAGCCTAAGCAAGTAATTATGTATGGTGAACTGCCTCAGCAGAGCATTAGAAGCCAATATGCATTTTTCCTCTCTCTCCGTCGAGTCGTTTTAAAAGAAGATGGGGCATATCTGGCACTAGGTAATCCGCCCGAAGGTTCCATGTGACGATGACTCTGCGCCAAGCTGTTACCCAAGCGTTGCGACGCCCTCCCATCTCAATCGCGCTCGTCTTTTACGTGGTGCTCAATCCTGACTCGATCTTGGTTCGCTGCGCATAATAAGTTTCATGCAGCATGCGCTGTTGCCTGGCACCTTGGCAATATGCCTTGATAATGCTGAGCAAATCAAGTTCGCTCTCCGTCCCTGTATCAAGGGGACATGGGTACTTGCACTGCACACCTGCTGGCAGTGTTTTCGTTCACCTTGTCGGGCGCTTGGCTGCTTGCTTTTAACCACTAGATCATTAGCGAGGTCAAGTTTTCTGTATACACCCACTAGATGGCTACACACACTTCCCCCTCCTCCCGGGCTTTGCTCTGTTGTTGGTCAGCGAGAGTGGGATGGATTTACGTAAACGTTCTGATATATCCCGTTAAATGCGGAAGTGTGAAGGGTGAGAAGAAGTTAACGGAGACAAGGATAATAATATTAATGGCATATTGAGTGGACAGGCGACCACTCCAGTCCGCATTGCTAATTTTAGTCACAACCCACCGCCTGCTAAAAAAAAGTATGCTGTATCACGTGATTGCCATAGTATAGCACCTTATTCGGCACTCAACAATAATCTCCGGATAAGCACCTGAAATGCATTCTGGGATCCTGCACAAAAGTTAATTATAAGAACCTCTGCCCCCTTCTGACCTCGATGCATACTCGCAAGTTAAAAGAGCCAAAAATTTATGATTATGACCATATGCCTAGTTCAGTGGCGTCCAACCCGTCTCTCAAGCATCAGTATCCTAAGCCCCATCCATCCGACAGGTCACAATATCGGAAAAGGAAGAAGCTCGACGCACCGGCACCAGCATATTGGGATAACCTGTCAAAGATTTGGTTGACCAAAGATGCGTTAGAGGAGTTGGATCGAAGAAACAGCTGCCTGAAACCACCCCAGAACCATCATCAACCTCTCACTCAACAATTTCACACTGAGCTGTTTCAGTTTGCTCCAGCCTTTCTCCGTGATTGTGCACCTGCTTGTTCAAAGCAGATAAAAAGGGTTTCCAGATTGGGAGGACCTGACCTAACTGACCTTAGAAATGTATGTAACTACAAATCCATGCAAATACACCATTGCTGATAATATTGCCCAGTATTCTAAACAGGAAATCTTCCTTGAAAAAGCAATGAGCTCAAGGTCCCGGGGTAGAAAGCGACGCGCAGGTTCTCCTAGTGCAGATATGAAGAGTACCACCAAGTCCACAAGCACCACACCCTATAATCGTAACTTCCAGCAGAATCTAATTGATCATGGTGTTTACCCTGATGGATAGGAATATCCAGATGGTCGAATACCAGCAATGCCAAAAAACTGGGAGGAGATCAATAAAACACTAGCTCAATCCCGATCCTCTCTTTCCCCATCAAACTTCTCTGATGAACATTTCCGGAAATTCAAACGAGCAGATACACATGCATCTAAAGAACAACCAGTCACAACATCAGTGATTCCTATCATTGAAGGTGACATTGATGATCCCAAATGCGCTGGAGGGGGATACTCACTTGGAAATCTTGCCCCCTTAACTGATGGCACACTGGCTCAGGCTAAGCCAGATCACTTCTACAGTGCGCGTCCTGAACAGCTCAATCGCCAGATCCGCAATGAACTCTGCAATTATATCATCCCATCAACACAGGATGATCTTCCGATGGTACCAAATTTCTTTTTGGAAGCAAAAGGGCCTGATGGATCCTTGGCTGTAGCTACACGGCAAGCCTGTTATGATGGCGCTCTAGGAGCTCGTGGCATGCACACTCTCCAGTCATACCAACAAGATAGATCAATTTACGACAACAATGCTTACACTCTTACATCAACTTATCATGGCGGTCAACTCAAGCTATACACAACTCATCTCACTGAGCCCGAAGGCCTAGGCCGTCACCCTGAGTATATTATGACCCAGCTCAAAGGCTGGTCAATGACCAGTGACCCAGAAACCTTTCGACATGGAGCATCTGCATACCGAAATGCTCGGGACTGGGCAAAGAAAAAGAGGGATGAATTTATTAGGGCAGCAAATGAAACGCATGCAAAGGCCCAATCTCAGCTTCATTCAACCTCTCAGTGCCAGACAGCTTCCGAGGCAGCTCTCACCTTGGACACCTCTGATCTATCGACATTGTCCGACCAAACGGAGTATCAAGACACGCAATGGAGCTTCGCAAATACAACTGAAGAAGGAGGAGAGTCTCAGATTCTTAGTAGACATGCCAAGAAGCCGAGAGTTGGCTCCATTGTTGAAGGTAATACAGCGGGTAATAAGACTACTAGATAGATGCCCGAACTGATGATAAATAGGGCTCGTCATGCACACGGGGAAGTCATAACCTGCACCAGGGCAGCCTCCCTTGGGTTGATCATAGTCACGAGAATACCATAATAATGATCGGAGTTTCTTTGCATAACTCTGGAACTTCTCACCAGGGTGTGGGCCTTTTTAAATCCACATAAATATAATACAATATGTTCTTTATTCGTACAGCTTTTTCCCTTCCAATATTCCTATCACATATTTTTAATTTTTACAACTAAGCTACATAGCAAGCGTGGAAAGACCCGAATGTTTAGGTCTAGAATCCAGTAACAGCAACTCGTACTGAATTACACATCAACCAGCAATGACAATTGAGTTTCAGAAAAGTCACATTGTCTTCCGGGTCAGCAATAAAGCCCACTGGACATGGAAATAATCCTTACCGGCACTCAAATGTTACATGCTACCTCCCGATTTCTTTCGCAGAGGCCTGCAGGTCGGCATCATATTGTTCTTTACTCTGTGTTTCTATTGTCTCGAGTATCGCGGACATTTGCCCAAGTATTTCAATCATTTTGAGCACCTGCCTATGGATCTCCATGATTTCGTCTTGCTGAGATATATTGTCGCCGCCCTTATGTCTGAGGAGGTTGACAAAAGTCTTCGCATGCCATGGGTTGGCATTCGGCATGGAGGGGAATGTTTTAAAACATCCTACTGCAAGTGAGAAGAGCGACGGGGTTTCTGTTGAGATACAAATTTCCAGTCGATTATTTATTGCGGTTTAAGAATATAGACAATGGATATCCAGAATCGGGGAGGTTTTTATATTCTCCAGGGCTAGACAAAATAGACGAACTGAAATGGTTCAAAGAAAAACCAAAGTGAGAGACAAAGAAAAGGAAGGGAAGAGAAAACAAATAAAGACACAAACAAAGGAACACACACAAAGAAAATACCATACCATGGGTGTAGGCAAGGTAGACCTTGGGTGGGAATGTGATAGGCAATATCAATAGGGCTCCTGAGCTGGAATGAAATATGAGAAGTGAAATAAGATCAAATGAAGGGAAAAGAAGCAAACAAGAAAACAATCAAGACAGGCATAGTAAATTGATATCGATACATACACAGATGAAGATCCCTAACCAATCGGCTTTACAATCCTGCGTCCACCCCCACTGTGCGATCTCCCATTGACTTGTCCCCTCGCGCGCGGATCCCGGGATCCACTACTCCGTACATTTTCAACCAGCCACCACTACTCCCTACTCCATGGAGAGACATTGGCGTGGGACACGCCAGAAGTGGTCACTTCATTCATGGTAAATGGAGATTTCTGTAAGTAGAGGGTACGTGCATCGCTGTGGCAGTTTCTTTGTAGCAGCTGTTGGGATATTCTCGCTCAAAGGCATCCATGTTTTCTCAGCCTCAACTTTGACTTCAACTTGCGAGTTGGCAGCGGGGTGCGAAGCTTCAGCTTGGTGGAGTACTGCACCTGCAGAGTCGCCTTGGATCTGCCTGGGAAGTGCTTGGTGATCTCATCCCATGGCTCACCTCCCTCCTTGAGTTCTTTCAGCAGCGCGTCGTCCTCTGACGTAAATGGTACATACACATATACCGGTCATGACAGACGGCCGCCCTTCTCAGCCGGGGCTTGACATACTGTTTGCATTTGCTGACAGGAGCCGGCCGGTCTCCTTGTGATAGAATGTTATAGTGTAGCACACTTTGGACCTAGCCACATAGCTTGAAAGAAAACCGGAGACCGGTATGCTGTCGCCTGATTGATTCATCACTGCATCATCTAGTGGGACAGTGGACACACTGGAGGAATCACTGACTGGGTTTTTATCATACTTCATTGTCGGATTCCATTTCCTTGGCTTATTGTTTACCACAGCAGTCGGAGAGGGATCTCCTGTGCAAGTGTCAGAAGTGACAACAGACCTGGATGACTGCCATGTCCAGAGTTTTCGCCGCTTGCGCGGCTGCCTAGTGACATGGTCATCATCATCACTTTCCTGATACACCTCATCATCACTGCCACTGCTGCTGCAGTTGCCGGAGTTATTGAAGTCACTGTTGTCACTGAGGTTGCTGGGATTGCTTCTGTCACCTCGACCCTCCCTCTCCCGGAGAACATCTGGCAGGGAAAGAATCTCAACATGAATATCTGTGCATCGCATGCATCGCTGCCCCATCAGTCTGTGCTCTTCCCCAGCGCATTTTCCAGGACTGGCAGGTGTTCCAGGCTCCAGTTTGGCTCCCGGGCTGGAAAATGTACCCATGATCCCTTCACCTGTGGCATCAGCGTACACATCAAGAACAATAGTTCTTCTGAATTCATCATTGTTCAGAGGATTCTCTCCATCACTCTTCAAGGCCATGATGATCAGTTGCTCTGCTGAAGACAGTCAGAAGGCAGAGCTTCAGAGACAAATTAAAAGAAAGAGAGAGCTGACTTACTCTGATGATCTTCTGACCTCAGTAACTTCACAAAGCTGCACAGATGTGATGTTGATCAGAGAAACTTATCAAGTCAGACAGAGAGTACAAGACTTTCAGTTCACACTCATTCAGTGCTGAATTGTGATTGCTATCAGAGAGAGAAGAGGTAATTTTCTAAGATAATGATTAATCAGCCTTCTCTGAAGATCTATCACTTGAGACTTCTCAGTGAGACCTGATATAATGTCTGACATAATTAAGTCTGAAGAAAATATTATATCTTCAATCAGCAGATCTCTCAGCAGATCTTCACTTGAATAAAGAGTATCTATTTTGAATTACACTGATAACATGAGTACTGAACAACTCTATATTATCACAGTTAGTAAAACTGTGACTACTTATATTAATTATCTTCACAATATTCAAATGTTTCAGCTCAGTATTAAACTTATTCAACAGAGTGTTCAATACTCAAACTCTGATCTGACTATTAAGATTACTGAGAGTATCTCTACAGAAGAAAAGAGAAGATCAAAGAGATAAATAAGTAAATAGTGATTCAGAGATAATAAATTGTGCTGAGAGTATAGAAGTAAGCTGAGAAAGATAGTATTTATAAATAGAGAGTCTGATGAGAAAAGACTTGAAAGACTTGAGAGAAAGTAAGTAGTATAGAATAATGAGATTCATATTCACAGCTATAAATCAAGTATAAGAAATGTAAATACTGTAGAGAATATATAAAAGAAGTAAAATAAAAAAAAAGAATAAAGATTTGAAGATTAATTTAAGCTGTATAAGTCAGAGCATTTAAATATTTTTAATAGAATATATATAATGTCATATTACAGTGTTTTTTACATGAAAAAGTTGAGTTTTCTATAATAAATAGAGTATATTAATAAATATATAGTGTAAAGAGACCTACACTGAATAGATCAGTATAATATATAGATCTTATATAATAAAGTAAAAAAATGTTCAAAAAGTCACCGCTCCACCACGAACTCGCTCGATTTTTCGAATAAGAACCCGCCGATAGATTCATTGAAAAGCCCTCGATCATACAGGCATTTTGACCCCATCGCTGACCGCATACCCCGCGTGGTGGTGGAGTTATCCAGCCAAATGTGAACCAGATGTTGTTCAGAACTCCTGCATGAGATTATCCCTCATTCTCCCCTACCACACCACAACCCCGGGCCAAATTGCCATACAAATTGTAAGATGAAGAGACCTAGCCATATGCATCAATCTTCTCAATTTTGGAAGATCCTCAATCTGTAGTTGTGGAGATATCTGAGGAGTGATCTCCGCGAAAACCCTGTCCATCTTTGATGTTTCAAAACATCAACACCAAGTCCCAACCTCGTACCGCCCTTCTCAATCTGGCCCATCCCCAGCAGAAAAATACAAAAAGATATCTCAGTGATAATATCAAGTATATAATCAACAGTCACTTCTGAAGTGTAATCTTCACAGTCTGTCTTCAGTGTATCTAGACATCAATACCAAGTCTCACTCTCATATCACCTCTCTCAATCTGGCTCATTCTCAACAGAAAAGTACAAAAAGATACCTCAGTAACTGTACTCAATACATAATCAGCAGACACAATAACTATAAAATCAGTATATCTCAAGATCTGACTGAGTCTTTGATCTCTGCACAGTGAGATATATTAAATCTAGTTTTAATATCTCAATATTCAATAGATTCTGTAAGAGATTGAGAATAGTAATACTAGATTTCTATTAAATTTGAGAATTAACTCTATATTGATATAATCATTGATAAAGTCTTCTATTTTGAGATATAAATAACCAGTTTCTCTACATCTCACTGATAATATTTATATTATTATATAGAAACAGACTTATATTCTCTATAATATCAAGACTCTGAAGAGGAAAAGTCTTGATAGAGAGTATATAGTAGTATATATCTTAGCAGTTTCTATCTCATTCTTCTGCAGCAGTTAATGTAAAAAAAAAAATCTTAGAAATAGTTTTTTACTTCTCTTGAAAAAGTAAGATGTTTTTCTCTAAATTTTATATAATATTCTTACAAAGAATTAAAAACAGAGTTATTTTCTATTATAATTTTATATTCTTTTAAGTAAGAATTACTTTTTCAGTGACTGAAGAGCTTTTATTAATACTTAATTCTTTTTTACACTCTTTTTTAACTGATTTGAGTTGTACACTTGTTATATGAGAAGAATTGAATAATTTAGAATAAAATTGAATAGTTTTAATCAATTTCTCTGCAAAAAATTAATTTATTTTTTATCAGTTTTTTTCTCAAAAACTGTCATATTATCTGATTTATTATCAATTGATATCATACTTTTTCTCACTGTATCTTAAGAAAGAGATTGTAAAGATTTTATTGATTTATCTTAAAAATTAATTTTAGTTTATTAGATTCTCTTCAAAAATCTAATCTAGTTACTGAACTAGTGTGAAAAAAATCAGGTGTTTTATACATAAAAGTCTTTTATTCTTCTTTTGAAATAGTCTGACCAACTTTTCAATTGAAAACAGACTTAGAAATATCTCAATTGAAACAGTCTGATCAACTTTTCATTGAGTGAAAATAATGAGTTCAAAAATACACTCAGTTGATGTGAAAAAAGATGCTTTCTCAAATACTATTTCTGAGATTGAAATTCTGAAGAGAAGAAAGAAAGAAGAAATAGAGAAATAACAAGTTCTTGAAATACAGAAACTTGAAAAAGTAAGCAAGATTCTTGAAAAGCAGTGTCTGAGTGAGATGAATGAAGAAGTTCTGTTAATTCTTCATACTCAGACTAGACAACTACAGAAGATAATCAAGTTCAAACTTGAAATCTCAAACACAGTTCAAAAAACCTTGAAAATTCCTAGTATAATCACTGACTCTTTATCTTACTCTTCTTCTTTCTTTTTTTCTACTTCTTCTTCTTCTTTGAATCAGATGAAAATATATGCTTAAGCAGCTGAATCTGCTATCTCTAAATCTGCTATCTCAAAACCTGCGCAAAATTCTGAGAAAACTGAGAAGAATACTGCTCATGTCTCTATTCATAGAAAAGTAAAAAAGAAAATGTAAAAAGAGAAAAACTTTCAAATCTTCAGAAATAGAAGACTTATTCTCAAAGTCTCAAATCAGAATATTCTGTAAAGAAACAAGTTAAACTCAAATCTTATTTTCAGAATTAGAAATAAAATTAATCAGCAGTTCTTTTCTCAGTTGATAACTGATATTGAAGTTCAAAAATCAGTTATAGCTTTAATTGAGTCATCATTCTTTGAAAACTTCATCATTCTGACTACAATGCCTGAATTCAGTGCTGAATTCCTTATTCAGAATGAGAATCTCTGAAAGTTAGCAGTAGAATCTTTGCTAAACATAATAATTCTATCTGAAAGAGATGAAAAGTGAGACAAATTCATTCATTATAATATTTCAGTTGAAATTTTTGACTGTGAAGAAGAAATACTACTTCTTAAAAATGAATTGAAAGAATATAACTTCATTCAACTGAGAAAGAAGTCTGTATGACTAAATTCAATTAAGTTTAAATAAAGCAGGAGAAATGCCTCTGTTCTAGTATATATAAAAACACTTGAACAGTCAAAGATCTCTGAAGTAAGAGTAGCAGGTTTGAAAATGAGAGTTCATGAATACAAAGACTCAAGAATGAATCTCAAAGCTCAAACACAGTGTTCAAACTGTCAAAGATATGAACACTTTGCAATCTCATATTTTAGAGACTTAAAATGTGCATTCTGTGCTAGAGATCATAAAACTAGTGAGTATAAATGTGAAACATGCTCAAAAAGAGATGAAATTTATCAATATACTCTGCTTAAGTACTCTAATTGTAAAGAAAAACATGCATCTAGCTTAAAAGAATGTATATTTACTTCTAGAACTCAAAAGAACTGAAGAAAAGATGAAGCTCAAAGTCAATCTAGAACTGAAGAGAAGAGTCAAGTCAGTAGACTTATAACTGCAAGCTTAAAAAGAAGAAACTCTCAACTATCTAAGTCTTTAAACTTCAATTCTTCAGCTAAATATAAACAGAATTTGAATTCTCAAACTTCTATTAAGATTAGAGAATTGAGAAATGACTCTGATAATAAACTAGATATAATATAAGCAGTTGAGATTTCTACTTTTCAGAACAGTTATAATCTGCTATCTGATAATAGTGATTAGATTCTACTCTACTCTCTTTTAGTATGAATATACAACAAAAATAATAAAAAAAGTTTAAAAACTCTTCAAAAATCACATTTATTCAAAATAATGTGAATAGAAACTCAAATTGTATTTATTCTTGTCTTCAAATTATATTTAAGTAAAAAGTTGATTTTATACTGCTTCAGGAGCTGAATTTTAATGCTGAGTAAAAATATATCATTTCTCATTCAAGCTACTACTACTTTTTACCTCAAAAGTCTGAGATAAAGTCAAGAGTAGTAATCTATGAAAGAAAGAGATCAAGATATTAATTTAATCTAAGATTTAATATCATGTCTGACTCTGATATTCTGATGAGTGATATTATAGATAAAGAAAATGAGTTTAATACTATACAGCTCATAAATATCTATAATGAAAAGTCATTGAAGAAAAATAACAATATCTGAATAATTGATAGAGAATTTCTGAATATAACTTCATCAAGAAACTTTATAATTATAGGAGATTTCAATGAACATTATCTCTGATGAAATTCAGAATGGAAGAGAGTACTGAGAGCTGATAATCTGATTGAATGAATCTTTGAGTATTTAATAGATTTGATTAATAAGTCTGATCAACAAACATTCTTTAGAAAAGGCATGAAATAGAAGTCTATTATAGATCTAACATTCATGTCACAAAATTTAATGAAAAGAAGACTTGTAAACTAGTTTATTGATTTAAATAAGATATTAAAATC